ATACGTCTAGTCAAGTGTCATACAGGACTGGGCGGGACATTGGCGAATTGTGCATGCGTACGTTTACCACACAATAAAACAAAAATGTTTCGAAAACAGCAATAATCACAAACCATATAGAGTTATTTCACTATGACGTTAAATAACCAAACATCGATTTGTACAGTCGAGAAGTTTCAATGATGCATTAAAAACCCTGCTGTAGTTTTACCAGCACTTATGTTAAGACTCCAGAATTTAATAGTGTAATAAAAACATGTTTTTAGTATGGCTTGCAACTACACTTTAAAAATTAATAATTGTAAACACGCTGATAAAAAAATCAGTGGCGTGCCTTGAAATCCCACCAAGAAAAGGCCATGGGGTCTGAGGTGAAGTCCTTTCCCCAAACGATTTCCAGCATAATCAGTTACTACCAAACTGAAGAATAAAACAGGCAAACGACGAGGAAATCGGGATGTATAACAATTTTGAAGCTATCCAAAACACAACAGAGCTGCTGATCACAAGTTGCTGACAAGGCTGTTTGACTGCAAAGAAAAAACATTTACATTGACGAACCCGCAGCTAACGGGATGGATGTCATGCTCCCCACTCAGCCACCACATTACATATCAATCTATATAAAATGAATTTTAAATCGCGACCCGGCTACAGTGGTTGATGGTGCGGTCTCCTGCAAAACGTATTGGTGGGAAACAGATTGCGGGATTGAGTTTACCCCGGTTTAAAAAAAAAATTTCTTCCAGTTATTCCTGAGTTAAGTACACTCATTGAACGCCAAAATGCTCTAAAACACACAGTGTGGAGATTGTGGAGGGATTTCGGTCGATTCTAATTGAAACTGCATATAACTGCACACTGAAAACAGACGGTGTAGAAAGTAAGGGAAGCAAAGCAAGGCTCCAAGTCCTGAGACCAGATAATCAACCGAATAGAGAAAAGTAATTTCAATAGCAGGTGGAACTGACGGTTAGTTCCTCTTGTGAAGAGAGGTAAAATTAATACTCGTGTTGGATTAGCCTAGTCCCCCGTGCCTACGGTCGGCACGCCACTGAAATAACACTCAGATAGTGTTTATATTGCCCGGAATATGACAATCTAGGCATAGCTTTACATTTGTTTCTGAAAGTAATGTTAATGGGTATGGTTTAAATATTCTAAGTTCTAAACAACCATCAGATGGCGCTGTTTAAATATGTGTGGGTATTTTATGTCGCCTTGTGCTACAATATGTTCATTACAGACGGTAAGATAATTAGAGAAGATGTGGTACTGTCATTTACTTTTTTATACGTCTTTAGGTCATCACTAGAGTGTTGTCATAGGAGGCGTACGGGCGTGTTTGCTAGTTACTCATACTGTAAACTTTCCATAGGTTGTCGATCAATGTGTATTTCATTATCGTGTTACAAGACTTTCAAAAAGAGAAAAATTTGATTTCATTTGAAATCAACTACTAACTATATTTCAAACAATTTTTGTTTAAAGCAAAGAGAGAGAGAGAGAGAGAGAGAGAGAGAGAGAGAGAGAGAGAGAGAGAGAGAGAGAGAGAGAGAGAGAGAGAGAGAGAGAGAGGAGGGGAAGAGGTTAATATAAAACGGTTATTAGCACATGTGAACACTCAGATATTTGTATTATTTATACAAGTAATAGGCATACTGTATACAAGTAATAGGCATACTGTCTAGCTTCGCTTAGGTTTTCAAAAAAGTTGTGAAATTGAATGATTAATTAATAGGTGATTTGCTGTTATGTGAAATGCTTAGGGCCTGAATTTATTCAGTGGGGTACTTTTATTGTAGCCATAAATTGATGGAATATTCGCAAACTTATTACTCGCAAGGTTATTAGAACTGAAAGGGCCTTCATAAAAATTATCAATCAAATATTATACTAAATTACTTTTACAATTAATTTTACAATTTTAATACAATACAAAGCTTAAGTTATAACAAAATATCCATTTAAAACAATGCTACACTTTATGATTTTTGTTTTTTCTTAAAAAGAGTATACAAAATATTAAAAAATTGTTACATTAAAAAGTTACCTCCCCTGTTCATAGACCAAATGACCAGATCTCGTATAATGAGAATTTCACTCGCAGTCATTTTTAGCCCTCTTAGACGGCTTTGATACTGACCAACAGTTTTTCCATACGGCCCAGTCATCTATAGAGGTGTATGCAAAAAATTAGCCAGTTATACAAAGAGTAAGTACCCTAAAATTTGTGTAGAAATTACCCTGTTTTCCCCATAAAATACAAAATTTATATAGGGAAATACAACTGGTCAGTTTTGACCCCTTTGCGAAGTTTTCCCAGATATGCCGAGTTTTTTGCGACACCCCAAGGCGTTCTCCTACCACCTCACAAAATTTCAAGGGGGGTCGTCGTCGGAATTTTTTTTTCGTAATAGAGATCATATAAAGAGAATTTCACTCGCGGTCACTTTTTAGCCCTCGTCGAGGGCTTTGAGTCAAACCGACATGTCTGTCCTACGGCTAAGCCATTTACCTATAAGCATGCCAAAAATTAGCCAGATGTAAAGAGGGTAAGTGCCCTAAATTCCGTTTTGAAATTACCCTCTGTTTTTCCTATAAAATACAAAGATTATATAGGAAAATACGACTGGTCAGTTTTGACCCATTTCCCGATTTTTCCCGGACATGGCGAGTTTTTTTTGACACCCCAAGGCGTTCTCCTACCACCTCACAAAATATCAAGGGGGGTCGTCGGAGGAATTTTTTTTTCGAAATAGAGCTCATATAAAGAGAATTTCACTCGCGGTCACTTTTTAGCCCTCGTCGAGGGCTTTGAGTGAACCCTACATGTCTTCCCTACGGCCAAGCCATTTATATATAAGCATGCCAAAAATTAGCCAGATATACTGAGTTTAAGTACCCTAAAGTCTGCGTTGAAATGACCCTATGTTTTTCCCATAAAATACAAAGATTATATAGGGAAATACAACTGGTCAGTTTTGACCCCTTTACGAAGTTTTCCCAGATATGCCGAGTTTTTTGTGACACCCCAAGGCGTTCTCCTACCACCTCACAAAATATCAAAGGGGGTCGTCGGAGGAAATTTTTTTTCGTAATAGAGATCATATAAAGAGAATTTCACTCGCGGTCACTTTTTAGCCCTCGTCGAGGGCGTTGGGTGAACCCGACAGATCTGCCCTACGGCCAAGCCATTTACCTATAAGCATGCCAAAAATTAGCCAGATATACGGAGTTAAAGTACCCAATAGTCTGCGTTGAAATGACCCTCTGTTTTCCCATAAAATACAAAGATTATATAGGGAAATACAACTGGTCAGTTTTGACCCCTTTATGAAGTTTTCCCAGATATGCCGAGTTTCAAGGGGGGTCGTCGGAGGAAATTTTTTTTCGTACTATAGCCCATATAAGGCGCCGGTCAGTCGAGGTCAGTTATGACCCCCTCCCCGTGGACTTTTCGGCAGACCGTCACCGTCCCTCGTGTTCTAACGCCCCGAGGCACCATCGTGCCAAATTTGACGCGCCTGCGGCGCCGGGAAGTGCCCTATCAGGCACTTGACCATTTTGCTTTATATATATATAGATGTTAGCATAAGTTAGGAAGAATATATATATATATATATATATATATATATATATATATATATATATATATATATATATATATATCTTATAAAACAGCTTGTCAGAACCGATGGTTCGGACCCAACTTGGAGTACAAATGTCACTGCACCAACAACAGTTGTGACTGTGCCGGCAGATGTACCGGCGGTGCTATATGTAGCAGAGGATGGTTTGGTCCAGCTTGTCAGTACCGTACGTATGTAGCTCGCTCACTCACTCACTCACTCACTCACTCACTCACTCACTCACTCACTCACTCACTCACTCACTCACTCACTCACTCACTCACTCACTCACTCACTCACTCACTCACTCACTCACTCACTCACTCACTCACTCACTCACTCACTCACTCACTCACTCACTCACTCACTCACTCACTCACTCACTCACTCACTCACTCACTCACTCACTCACTCACTCACTCACTCACTCACTCACTCACTCACTCACTCACTCACTCACTCACTCACTCACTCACTCACTCACTCACTCACTCACTCACTCACTCACTCACTCACTCACTCACTCACTCACTCACTCACTCACTCACTCACTCACTCACTCACTCACTCACTCACTCACTCACTCACTCACTCACTCACTCACTCACTCACTCACTCACTCACTCACTCACTCACTCACTCACTCACTCACTCACTCACTCACTCACTCACTCACTCACTCACTCACTCACTCACTCACTCACTCACTCACTCACTCACTCACTCACTCACTCACTCACTCACTCACTCACTCACTCACTCACTCACTCACTCACTCACTCACTCACTCACTCACTCACTCACTCACTCACTCACTCACTCACTCACTCACTCACTCACTCACTCACTCACTCACTCACTCACTCACTCACTCACTCACTCACTCACTCACTCACTCACTCACTCACTCACTCACTCACTCACTCACTCACTCACTCACTCACTCACTCACTCACTCACTCTCACTCTCTCTCTCTCCCTCTCTCTCTGTATATATATATATATATATATATATATATATATATATATATATATATCTTGTAAGTCTATTAGTATAAATATATTTATCTAGCATGTTATTTTACGGAAAGACAGTAAAAGGTCTTTTCGCGTTATTAGGTTCGTTTTAGTTTTTCTGACATCGCTAAATTTGACATTATTTTAAATTCTTATTTAATTTAAAATCGTATTTAATCTGTTTCATATTTGTAAATAAATTTTATTAGCTTGTTAATTACTGAGTATTGTTTATTTGTTATAGTTCTATATTAGGTTAAAACCATTTTGCTTTTCTACACCGATCAAGTTGTGTTCAAGGGAAGTTGGGTTCTAATTAGATATATCTCAACACCTTTTGTCCAGAGGACTTGTCTGTGTTGGCCGACATTACTGCTGACAGCACAAAAGACACAAGTGTTTTGGTAGATGGAGATATTGATACTTGTGTTACGGCGACTACGATAAATGTTACATGGAGTCGAGCCTATCCCATCACATGGATACGTGTACAAAGTTTCGATCAGTGTAAGTTTACGTTTATAGTATAAAATACTTGAGTATAAGCTTTAATTCAAAGCACATACACATACACACATGCAAGCACAAACAAACATTGATTAGAATCGCACGTGTAGCAAATTGAATAAGTTAAGAATATAAAATGTATGTCTGATGACGTAAAGAGAGTGAATGTACGTGTGGAAAAAGTTAGTAATATATGGATAATACTGTAGATATTCGCAATAAATGTTGTCTTACCTTAGCAATAAATTTACTATACCTATGTCTGTTTTTTTTTGTGTACTCAAATTTCTAGAATTCTATAATAACATTGTGGTAAAGGGGGTCAACACTAGAACTTTAAAAGCAAGAGTGGAGTAGTTGAGGCTAAGTTGTCCGGAAAATAAATAGCAGCGTTCCCCTCCCGACACATTTTTATATTGCGTTATCTTTCATCAAAGACTGGGGATCGTTGCCTATAAAATCACGGATCGCAATTTATAATTGTAATATGCACAAAAAAAAAAAAAAAAAAAAAAAATCGGAACAGTCAATTAAAAAACAATATCGGACGACGTGGTCGAATGGTAGGAGTCTCGAGTTCAAATCCCGGTTCCAGGTTCAAGGCCGTAGATCTTCCGTGAGTTGACCTAGCTGCTCTAATGGGTACCTAGCTTACGTTAGAGAAAGTAAAGGCGGCCTCTGCTGATCACAGTATCTCTTCATAAGTTGAGATCACAGAAAAGATGAATTTTACTTCCTATGACCCATCAGTTTCTAAAGGGTACTTTACTTATTACTTACCTAATTAAATAAAATCATTAAAAAATCAGTCCACCCCTGTTTAAAGCAATAAAATCTTGTTTTACTGTATTATCCCACACAATTACAGCAATAAATAATAACACATGTATTAAATATCTCTTAACAACTAGCTTCTAAATGCAATAAAATAAAATACATTTTCTATCCTGAGTTGTAATTGTAAAGAATGGTGGTCGTTGAAATGTATTGAAGATGCTTCACGAGAGAAACTCATTTTTACAAAACTTAGCTCACAGTATGGCTGTGAAGTTCAAGAAAAGCTCTAGCGATTTCACGCTGATCACTTGTGATAAAGAAACAGTTTACAAGTCAGATAATGGAACGGTGGATTTTGTCTGCGAATTACAATTTCCCGTAGTGGCTATGTCTGTCTCATTCACAGCTAGCACTGTGGTCTGTTCTATTTACATCAGTGGAGGTGAGTACGTTATGATGATCACATTGTCTTTTGTTAATTTGGAAATTTCATTATAATAAACAATATACTTACACTTTTCAAAACGTTGCCGCTGACAATGCAATCATACCATTGCAAAAAAGTGTACCTTGAGATATTTTTCTTAGAATACATTCTCTGAGATATTTAGACAGAGATATTTAGTTTGATATATTTTGTCTTAAAATATATTGTTTGTGATATTTTATCGTATAACGTATCTGAGATATTTATTCTTTAGAATTCGATTTAAATTAAATCAGGTTGGAAATACGATATTTTTGCATTCTTATTAGAAAGAATGCGCTGTATTAGAAATGGGTTAACACTGAACAACATGATTCAACTACAACCCAGCCGCATATTGACATTGCGACCTAAGAAATGCTTGTAAAAATTAAACGGGAGTGATCGCCTCCAACCTTTCGAGTGTATTAATTCTATTTTAAAATTCGCGTAGACAAAAAATAATTGGACAAAACTGAACGCAAACAAAGTGTGTATAATAGAGCGGAATATTAGGTATTTGTAAAGAAAATATTGATTCATTTAAAAAAAGTTTATATAATTAACTAATAAAGTAATACTTATGTCACAATGCATTGTCTTAGATTCTTGACCTTCGTAAAAAAGTTTGAAAGAAATCAAACCTGTAGAAGAGATCGCAAATCAGCTAGACCGAAGAATCACGATACAAAAATTCTTTAGAGCCCATGACGTGCTTTCAGGTGACTTGACGCACCATGGGTCCCCCGTGAGCATCAAAGCGCCAACATTAGTTTTAAAGAGAACTCTACACTAGGAACACGGAGTCAGACGTTAACCGATAATTTAACCTAACAGGGGTCATACCCAGCGCCCCTGCGGCAGAGGCGGAACTAGAAAAAACAGGCCCCCCCGCAGAATTTTTTTTTGGGCCCCTATATATATATATATATATATATATATATATATATATATATATATATATATATATATATATATATATATATATATATATATATATATATATATATATATATATATATATATATATATATATATATATATATATATGGAAAACATGGGTCGCTTTAAATTAAAAAAAAATTCCATCTGGTACACGAATAAATCAGAGGTTTTCCAACACACGAGCTGGCCCCTTTCAGTTTTCCAAGTGAGAAGCACAAACTCTCTAAATCTAGTCCAACACACCAAACTGAGGCTTTCATCAAAACGTTACCAACCGTGTGCCCTGTTTTCCAGAAGTTGAATTAAATGTTAACAATGTCGGCAGTTCATTTCTTGGATCTTAGGGCTCGGGTTTGTCCACACTACCAACTAGACACGCCAAGGCATGCTGTAAGTCCCTCGGCGACGGCCCAGGTGTCAGGGGAGTCACGGGGCTCTTGGAGCTACCGGTTACATTACTGCACGGGTGATGGGTGCAACACATTGTTTCTTCCGGCAGAGCTCCCCCCCCCCTCCCCTCCCCCGAAAACAGTCTACCCTGGAAGAAACATTGGTGCGACACCTAATTAGATTTAGTCATCGAGTGTTGTAGCGAGACTTATTCCTAGTGTTGTGGGAACTTTTAATCGACTGTCTGTGGGGGCCAACTTGATCATATGTGATGCGCTCAGGATGACACTGCCGCCGGTTGTATTCAAGTAGTACATCCGCTTATGCAGGATCTTCGGGCGTTAAATCACATATTTCCGTTAGGCGTCCGCACTCCAATATGGGGTCATCCATAAATGACGTCACGCTTTTTTTGACGATTTTTACCTCCCCCTCCCCCTCCCCTCCGTCACACGTCGTCACAAAAAGCCAGACCCCCCCCCCCTAAAATGACGTCACGCCTCAACCTACAATCCCCCTCAAAATTGCAGTTGAATTTTTTTAAAACATCGATATTTTTCCAAAATCTTGTCTAAACTATTACAATTTATTAAAACAGTTATCTAAAACGCGAAATAACGTCTAAAATTCGTATTCTAACATTGCTTTTTATAATGCAAAAATGTGACGTCGCAACATCTGAACCCCCCCCCCCCTCGCCCTCATCACACATCGTCACAAAATTACGGACCCCCCCCCCCCCTCCCCCCTACGAGTGTGACGTCATTTATGGATGACCCCTATGTACAAATGTTAGGCCTATGACAGAAACCTTTGCGGGGCTGTACTCAACAGCTTCCCAAGTTTTCATGGCGATTGGGTGAATGATGCAGTAATGCATAATAGACAGAAAAATGTTTTTCACATGTACAACTGTATGTGGCCAGGTCACGCGTTGGATAACCTTCTGATTTAGGGGAGGGGGGGGGGACTAACAAAAAGCCAGACCCTCACACACCCCCACCTCAATGACGTCATTTATAAATAGTAATTGACTATTAATAATGTTCAATTAATTCTAAACGTTCTAATTAATTTCTAAATAATTATATAAATATATATAAAAAATAATCTTACCTGCCCTGTTTTGTGAATTAGATGTGCCTAATACTATGAAAGTAAATTAATGTCTGTTGACTAGATCTAGTGCTGTCTAGTGTCTGACAAAATGTGCTGAAGTGGTGAATCGTACGGTTAGGAAGTAGTTCATAAACGATACATTTATCTCCTCGATACTTGTGAGGTTGAGAAAGAGGGATGGGATAGGGTTCGGCTCGGGAAAAAACTTGAAAGAGACAACAAAATGCCGCAAAGAAAAACCGCGCATCATGAAAGCCCACTTCATGTGTAGCGGCTTTTCGTGCTATGGACTTTGTTGTTTTTTAAAAAGAATTTTGCCGGCGACAGCGTGTGTTTGATTGTAGGGAAATAGAACTCGGCCTTGACGATGGTTAAAAAATACAACTATAAATAACTCTTTTAAATATGTAAAAAATGTGTCGACAATTTTTTAACCCCCTTTTTGGTCCCCATCCCCTGCCCCACCCGCCACAGTACACTTTGGATGATCGGTCAAACAGTTACGTGTCCTCTATTTAGCTATTAAAAGGGGGGGGGGGGGGAACGAGTCAAAGAAGTCATTCAAATTTGAAGAGTTACCTATATTTTACACTAGTTTGTGTAATGGATTTTATCTTTTGCGGAAGAGCGTGTATAGTGACTGTAAAATAAAGATAATCGTACCGCAGCTACAGTGTTTTTCTTTTACAAACCAAATATTAAGGCAAAAAATGCACGAAAATTAAATTCAAAATTTTTAAAAATATTAATTTTAATCAGCCGTGGGCCCCTAAACGGCTTGCCCCCCCCCCCCCCCCCCTGCCGCGCATTGCGGGGTCTGGCGGGACTGTAGTTCCGCCCCTGTTCATCAGGTAAATGAACAACTACTGACTAGTGTCTTTAACAAAATGTGCAGAAGTGGTCAGTTTACAGTTCAGTAGTTCATAGACGGTTCGTTAATCTATGCATTACATCTTATTGTAAGAGTAAGGGTGTGGTGAGGGGTAGAGGGGAGGGGTAGGGGTAGGGGTGAGAGGGGGGGGGGGAAGGGGAGAGAGTTGGGAAGGTTCACTGGAAGGGGACAAGAAAGCGCCGATAAACATCTACATCAATAGTGCCGACTTTTTCCGGTCGTCTAGAAGACCAGGATAGTCGCCGCAACATTTCCCCAGCCCGATTTCAAAGCGTGCCGGCACAGTCAAATTTCAGATGTTTCGCTACAAGTTTATTGATACAGTTGTTAAAGTAAAAATGAACGCAATTATAAATGTATGAGATCGAAATAAATAATTATATTTTTTGTAGAATTCAGGCCAGTAGTTTAAACACACAATCATAGATATGTATTTTAATAATGTAAACAATATAACAATGCTTTTTTGTTCTCCTAATCGACGCCACTAAAAAGAACGGTAGGCTACGTCTTTGAAGTTGTCTATATGTCTGGCCGTCTCTCGAGCTATAGTCTGTGCATTTTTCTCAAAGACGTTTGCCGACTATCGTGTTTGTTTGTAACTGTAGAAGAAAGATAACTCGACCTCCACCTAATTTTTTTTTAAATTTTTTAAATTTTTTTTAAAATAATTTAGCCAGGATTTTTGGGCCCCCAATCGGTCTGGGCCCCCCCGCATTGCGGGGTCTGGCGGCACTGTAGTTCCGCCCCTGCCCTGCGGTAGTGTAACAGGGGGCTCCAGGAAGCGCACCGCGAAGTCCTTCACGCCTGATTGGTCGTCGTGGTGTGTTCTATCTCACTATTACGCAGGGTGATTAACCTACACTCACGGCTTTCATACAGCATGTCTAGAAGCAGGGGCGTAGCGAGGGGGGGGGGGGTCGGGGGTGCGGACCGCACCGGGTGACACCATTTAGGGGGGTGACACCAAGGCAAAAAATAGCAAAATATATAGAGAAAAACTCGAGGGGGGGTGCAAATCGAAAGTTTGAGGGGGGGGGGTGCAAATCTAAAATTTGAAAGTTTGTCCCTGGGAAGGGTCTCTATGCCTCTGGGGGGGGGGGGGGGGGGTGACACCATTAAGTGCCGCACCGGGTGACACCCGACCTCGCTACGCCACTGTCTAGAAGTCATTGTGACTCACTTACAAGCCCTATTATGAATAACCATTCTCCATCACATTTTAGCACACATTTTTTATAATTCAAACAATGACATTTGAAAACACTCCCTCACCCAGGAAGAAATGTGGCACTGAAGCAGCCTGCCGAACAGTCTAGCCTCTACACGGGTCTCTACAGGCAAGGAATCTACGGCCTGGCACCGTATGCCGTAGACGGCAACACCAACAGTTCCTGGAACAGCAGTTCCTGCACTCACACATCAGACGATGACCTTAATCCGTACTGGAAGGTCACGTTTATAAAACCTTATCTGGTCAACAGATATGTTATATTCAACCGATTCGACCCGTTGCCAGGTGAATGTCTTAATTACAATTTTAATATAAGAAATTTTGTTTTCTCCGTAATTTATTTCTTCACATTTTTTTATTCATACTTAGCACGGTCTTTTGGTGCAATAATATATATATATATATATATATATATATATATATATATATATATATATATATATATATATATATATATATATATATATATATATATATATATATATGCGTATATTTTATTAACAGGGTATTTTACCCACTCAACATCTGATGTGACATTAAATAATTTAATAATATTTTCAAATATCACTGTCACCATTATAACATTTATAGGAGCTTCTAAAAAAAATATGTCATAATTAAGTGAGGCAAAAATTGTAGGGATTGTCTATAAATTATGGAAATCACAATATTTGTTTATATATAAATAATTGGTTACATATTCATTTAAATAAAACAAATGTTAAAAGAAAGAATATGTAAGCTAATGGTGTCAAGGTATTCATTCAACCATTTCAAAAGCAGAAACTTTAAAAAAATCAAACCAAATTAAAAAAAATTATAAACCATTTTTAATTCATGCATGCTATATAACGCACATAATTCCGAAATACTGTCACAACTGTCTCGTTCTGGCTGACAATTGAAGCTAATGACTCTAATCCAAACGTCTTTAAGTTGGGATCCCGGGCTCAGATCTGTAAGGAGTCCCTCACTCCACCCAGCTCTTAGAGTTAGGGAAAGTAAAGGCGGGTGGTCATAGCACTGAACACATTATCCCCTAGTATGCCGAGGTCACTGAAACAGATGAACTCTACTTCATTTTTCCCCATGTGTATTGGGAACGAAAGGTGAAAGAGGAAGATAAATTATGCTAAAGACAAGTGTTCCTCATCAAGACATCTGGTCTTCCTATTTCACAGCATAATCCACTAAAACATCGTTATAAAAATAGTTCATTGGAAGTTCTCTCGATTCTTTTAAAGCCCGAATATTTCCATATACAATAATTCCGTTTAAGCATAGCCAGGATAAACTGTAATTTCTCATAGACGGCCAAAACAACACAAGATGCTGCCATCAACGGCTTCAAGGATTTTCGCTTCAAACTGTATCGTCCGACAACTCGACCGTGTTTAGCTTTAGAGACACGGAGCCGGAGCCGCAGCTTGTGTACACTGTGACCGGCTCTCCCCATAAAGCTGGAGCCGTGTGGATACAGCCGAGGTCTGCCCCCAGAAGAATTCTCACACTGTGTGAGGTCCAGGTCTTTGGAGGTACTCATCTTTGCTCTTGACATGTTTTTCCATTATACTTAGTTTCTTTTTTATTGGATGTGATATTACTACATATATTATGACTGCTGAGTGTAATACTATGTATGTATATGTATGTATAGCTCCTTTTGCTACTCGTGAATAAATGAATTTGCGCCCAGAGATTGAGATAATACTTTCTTTTGTAAAATTATAGTGTTTAAACTAATTTCTTACCCACAATGATATGTCTTTTAATTAAAATATAATATGAAAGAAAGTTAGTAATTTCAGAATTCTGCTAATTTCTCGTGTTTGTTAATTATATTTCTGTGTTGTTTCAGACGTGCTGCCTTTAATGAGTTATAATACCCTGAGCATGTATTATTCATACACCGCCTAGGTGTAGCTTTATGTCTCAAAAATTATCTTATAGACCAACTGTGCTCAATCATCATCACATTTGCCTGTCATTACCGCCAGATTAAGTTCTTTCCAGTTCCACCGGTCTTGGGCAACATTCCTTACAGTTAGTCCGGTTCTTGTCAGTTGTTGTCCTGCTGTTCGCCTCCACGTCTCACTTGGCATTCACTATCTACTTTTTCCTTGCAGTGTCAAATTCATCTCTGTGATATTATCTGATCTCATCCTTTATGCATGGCCTACCAAGATTTTACTTTGAATAGACTTTCATTTTCATTTCTATATGTAAAGCTGGAGAAGGTATTGGGGCTCTGAATTCTTTTTATTATTCACAGGCTCTTAGTTTAGAAGGAATCCAATGATCGGATAGTAACGTGGGTTGCTGCAGTCATTAGCATATTATATAAAACAACGGGCCTGATTTTCCTCTACTGCAGTTACTGATTCCATTGTCTTTAAATAAGAAAACCATTTTAAATAAAGATATGTAGTTTAAGCTATTAACAACATGGCTTCTATAAAAGCGCCCCCCCCACTCCCCAGATTCCTTGTGTGCCGCAGGTTACTATGGACTGGACTGTCAGCAACACTGTAACTGTGCTGGTCCAGCAAGTACATGTTTTATTGCCACTGGCTCATGTATGGACGGCTGTAGACCAGGGTACCAGGGCGAGGACTGTAGTCAGGGTGAGTAGACACGGGTAGATAGGCACTAGGCAACGTACGTACGTACTGGCTAATGTAAATAGGCACAAGTCAGAGTCCTGGAGTTAAATCAGACAACACTACCCTTAAAGATGTGTTGCAACTACTACGTTTTGGTGACATTACTATGAAGTTGGATATAGAAGTTTGGATGTCATGAAAAAAGTAATGTGAATAATAATTGATTAAATCTCCGCATATTATATAAATACTTCAATATCATAAAGATGACTAAGGTAAGAAGAATAATTCATTCATACATGAACCTTTCTTCATTTAGCCTGTAGACCTGGGCGGTGGGGAAAAGATTGTGCACAAATTTGCAGCTCTGCTTGTGCGGAACAGTCATGTGACCACGTAACAGGTGTGTGTGACAGGGGGTGTGTGGGGGCACTGCCTCCCCTCTGCGCCACAGGTAAGAAAGATTCGCTGTTTGGTGATCCTACAAAATCTGATATTATTATGTATTGCTCAAATCTAAATTTTTTCGGAAACTATTTACATTCACAAAGTCATAAAGCTAGCAACTTTTGTGCTCCCATTCAATAACCCTCTAAACATATTCACCCCCCCCCCCTCCATGCCCATTATCAATTTTTAATCGTCCACGGCATAAACCCCCTGGACATAAATCGACAACTGAGACCTACATACGGAAATCCAATTTTAATCTCTAATCCACCTATACCAAATTCACTGCATAGTCTTCTCCTCACCCCCTCCCCCAGAATGTGAACAAGGCTACTATGGAACCAACTGCACCCTCGAATGCCCGCCCCACTGTAAAGATGGCGCTTGCAACATGAGCTCAGGGTCGTGTCCCCACTGTGAGCCTGGCTACACGGGGGACTTCTGCACTCAAGGTTTTAAACATTCACATTTTATTACACACTAATCTTAGATCGGATCTGGTAAAATAAATAATAATAATTAAAAAAAAAACTGTTTAAAGGCATCCACAAAATGATTTTAAAAAATTGTTAAGTAATTCGCTCCGTTATGTAATGGAAGCACATCTTACACATAGAGCACGAAATTTTGTTTAGATTTTTAAGCTTGAAAGTAAGCAGGCCATTTTATTCATAGTTAAATTTGATACGACATGCGAAAATAAAATGTGCACTGAATCAAATTAAAAACTTTTCTAAAATATTTTATAAGTATGCCCAGATAAAATGTTTGGTCCGGCATGTTTACACCGGTGTAGTGACCACTGTCAGACTGACACTCTTGGACGACTGGAAGTTTGTCATCACGTGACAGGAACTTGCATTCTGGGATGTCATGATGGCTATGAAGGCTTCAATTGTACAAAAGGTATGCGGAGCCTCAAAATTAGGCATTTTCTCCGTTTTATAAACTTACTGCTATTTAAGTATACAATTACATACATTAAAAGCTACCCCCACGCTTGGTGAGTTTACATTTTATGTAGGCCTATATCGTTTTCTTTTGTTTTATAAAGTTGGATGTTAATACAATGCTAATACAATGCTAACATATAAATAATTTACTTAAAAACTTAAAAACTTAAAAAAGGGTTGTCTTTCCGAAACAACGTTTTTACCATTGTTTCCCGCTATCATATTATATTTTCATGCTATTAAAAAAGATGTTACTGGTGCGCGAGTTCCCATTTACGTCTGCTTCACAGTTTCTTCCAGCATTCCACCCCCCCCCCCCGTTAACAAAAAGGAATTCAGAAAGAAATATAACACTTAAACCAGTGTTCGCCCCCCCCCTCCTCGGAAAATTTAGTCCGCACCCCCCCCCCTCCTGAAAATATCAAGTGCCTTCCTGGACAAAAATGTCTGGAAGAAACACTGGTCTGCTTGCTACACAACTTTGGAAAAGTGATTTCAACTTAATTAAATGTGTAATTTACAATCTCTCATCAACAGCAACTGAGACACATCCCTTGACGTCTGTTTTTATTGGAGTCAGCGTCAGTGTAGGTGGCAGCGTCAGTACTGTGTTTAACACCAGTTGGCCTATAGGCTAATGATTAAAACCCACCGCAATGTACTGAATCAAGGATGACGAGATGGAATGTAAATAGAAAAATACAGCTACGAAACTTTCGGAAAGTTTAGAAATCTCAAAGATTAATTACTCGTGTGTTTTGATTTTCTTTTACAAATAATTTTACTTGGATCTGTGATACTCTTTAAATGTAATGTTGAGAATTATATCTCACTGTTGCTTATATCTTAACAAAAAAATAAATCACTGTTTAACCTTTTATAACTAAATAAAATATGTATTATTCCAATTTTTTCGGTTAAAGTATAAAGTTTAAATTTTGATGTTAAGAATAAAATAAAAACCCAAACATACTTAAAAATAAAATAATTTCGGCCATACACGTATAAATCTATATTAAAAAAACCCAGCAGGGTATGAAATATTTTCAAAAAATACTTACACTAACCCTCAATACTGACCACTACTGGACAACATGGATGACCAACTTGTGGTATACTTTGTAATATACCTGAGTACACTCTTAGAAACCTGGCTACAGAAAGCATTCATCATCATAGCGTATTGTATATAAAAAAAAAAAACACCTTTTAACTCAAATCATGATTTGTTTCTTAGGTGATCTCCCTTTGTCCAAACAAAGTATCACGCGTACGTCATAATTACGTCCCCATCTGAGTTGCATAATCACAAAATAAAAACAATAAATTAAAAAAACTCTAATTGTCATATATACATTAGATAAATTATAAAATCAATATGCTTGACGAGCAGTGTTTTCAACTAATATTGGCTCTATAGAATTCAACACCAACTGCTTTAATGCAGACCAGTGGCGTAGCTAGGATTTTTGGGCCCCTATGCAAAAAGTGTTAGGGGGCTTCTCAGAAGTGTAGCGACCCTTCCCGGCGACCGGGGACAAACTTTCGATTTGCACCCCCCCTCAGATTTTCGATTTGCACCCCCCTCCCTCAAACTTTCGATTTGCACCCCCCCTCAGACTTTCGAAAAAGGGCCCCTATTTGCCTTGGGCCCCTATGCCTTGCTTACGCTAGCTTTACGGTAGCTACGTCACTGATGCAGACATTACACTAGATACAAGTCACCAAATGAGCAACATATAAACACTTTGATTCTAATCTCTAACATTCGAAAATGGAACTTTGGACATAAAGAAAAGTTAGGTTTTCTATAAGCCCTATCTATTTGTCTGAAGAGCCCTCTGTGGCTCCGAGAGTTGGTACTTTCCCATTATTCTAGGAGAAGGGAAACTGATACACGCACTGATTTGACATCGTAAGCATAACTTATCAGCCGAAAAAAAAACACATACACGCCTATATATGTAAATATGTATATATATATATATATATATATATATATATATATATATATATATATATATATATATATATATATATATATATATATATATATATATATACATATATATAATGTGACAGGAAAAATGAGTACACACCAAGTGGCTAACCACGAATAACACATGAGTTGTGGTTTCAAGTGTTGAACCTTGTACATGCAGCCATACGGAAGTTGAATGAAGGACGGGCCACTGCATTACAGACTCTGTACTTAAGCATCCTTGCGATCACATTCTGTTACAAATTTACATCCTTTAACCTTTCATTCACTCTTTCTAACAACTCTGCTCACATTTACCCAAATAATGTTACAAAATGAGTTTAAAAATGTATATATATATATATATATATATATATATATATATATATATATATATATATATATATATATATATATATATATATAGTAGAAAGAAAACCCAGAAATAGTTCCAATCTAATATCCTGACTTTTTTTCATAGAATCCGGTTCAAACAACAATTATTTATTTTTGTTTTCTCGGTAAAAAAAAACCGCCGCATTTGTAATCGTGACTCGACTTTAGCGGTTTAACATTTGTTTTACTTACTTAAAACACAATTAGCAATGTCACATCACCCACTTGAACACATGAATTAATTACCTGACCTTGATAAATCCACCCCACCCAATCAAACACATGCATTAATAACTGGACATAGATTAAATTATAAAAATAAAACCTACAAATAACATCATTGGGAGAAAAAAAAACAGCGGCAATTTTCAACCTAAACAAATACAAATGTTCGTTTCAAAGTTTCTTAAAGAGCTCTACAAATTACCATAAGTTTAGTTGGATCTCGGACTGAAAGTCTCTAGAATCGAATCACTGGCTAGAGACACTACAGCGATCTATTGATTACCTAGCTCTGATTGATTTCTGTCTTAAGTCGGGAAAAGTAAACTGGAATAATAAATAGCTTGGTCGCCAGATTAATGTTACACTAAATCAATTTTTGGTCATTTTTTAGATTTTTGATCACTTAATCAACTTTTACTCACTTGTCTTTAGTTGTGCGTGTGAAGTTGCTATTTATAAACTGAATCATGCTTAGTGGATGTAGGTCTATTTATGAAAGATTAGGATGAACTAAAACAAGGAACTAAATTAAAGCAACGAAACAAAGAACTTTGAGTCTAGTTAAATGAGTTTCTGTTTCTGTCCCAACACACACACAACAGAAATCTCAAGTAGGTTGTTAATGATATATAGTGTGTAGCTGTTCTCCCACCCAGTGTGGTGTGTAGCTGTGTTACCCGAACTTACGTGTGTAGATGGGCTACCACCCGCTGGTGTTAGTAGCTAAAGTTTTGTGTGTGCTGTGTTGTTCAATAAACCTACAAAAAAATACTTTAAAATGGACTGTATAGAGTTGAATTAAGGGTGTGGTAGTCTACATTAATTCTAGGAAATTAGTTCTCGTTTCACCATTCTCCCCCCTCCCCTTAGTGCTGTTTGTGTTTGAGTACTTCGTGCATCGCACTAGATAACAAAAAGTGTTTCCGGTTTTTTAATGCGTTAAATAGATCTAGACGTTTTCGTGGACAGATAGGCAATCAGTGCGTGGAAATGTAGTAGTTTCATCTCTAAACAAAGCTGAACCTTTCATCGCTTGACGAAAGTTCTAAGAAAACTCGAGGGAGCGGCAGAACAGACTTGGCTGGTATCAGAAGACTGTTGCTTTCTTATAGTCATATCAAGTGGATGGAGCTATGGATTTTTGACTGTGTCAAGCGAATTCAATTGGATTGTTTAATTGTTTGTTTAATTTAGAGTAGGAAATTTTACATGCAACTTTTAGGTTACTTGTATGATTTAGTAAAAGTAAAGTTTCGCGTTCGGACACGGCGGTCAATAAAACAGGTGAAGTAGAGTTCATTTGTTTCCATGACATCGGCATATGAAGGGAGGCATGGTCAGTTATTTCCCGAGCCGCCTTTGCTTTTCTTACGTAAGTCAGGTACTCATCAAAGCTGAGTTGGCTCTGGGAAACAGTCGTGCCCGCTACCTACCGACAAACAAATTGAGTCATTAACAAGAACTCGGTGTTGTTTTCTTGTTGGGGTCTGGTGATTTACAGGTAATTAAGTAAGCGTCCGATTATTCAGTTTTATCCTGGTTTGTATATATATATATATATATATATATATATATATATATATATATATATATATATATATATATATATATGTATATATATATGTCCATTAGGTTGTCCGCCGATAATGAAAATAATTATGTCTACATTGCTGCTTTTTGTTCTGGCAACCAAGTTTGTGTATCTGGCTCTCGCTGGTGATATACGAGGTAAATAATAAAGTGACATTTTCACCCAGGTAAAGGTTGAAGTGACAATTTAATATAGGTAAATGATGAAGTGACAATTTAATCCGGGTAAATAAAAAGTGACAATTTAATCCAGGTAAATACACAGTGACAATTTAACCAGGTAAATAAAAGTGATAACTCTTTACTGATGGTGTCTCTTTTACCTATAGGGTGCCCGAGTGGTTGGTTTGGTGACACCTGTATGTACAAGTGCCACTGTCAGACAAAAGATACCTGTCACAAATGTGATAGCAACTGTGAAAAAGGCTGGTTCGGTCCAGCGTGCCAGTTTGGTATGTTGTCAGTCTTCATTTCATCATACGTTTATCATTCTTAGGTCATCAGTTTATCCATTCTCCGTCCATCATACGTTTATCATTCTTAGGTCATCAGTTTATCCATTCTCCGTCCATCATACGTTTATCATTCTTAAGTCATCAGTTTATCCATTCTCCGTCCATCATACGTTTATCATTCTTAAGTCATCAGTTTATCCATTCTCCGTCCATCATACGTTTATCATTCTTAAGTCATCAGTTTATCCATTCTCCGTCCATCATACGTTAATCATTCTTAAGTCATCAGTTTATCCATTCTCCGTCCATCATACGTTAATCATTCTTAAGTCATCAGTTTATCCATTCTCCGTCCATCATACGTTAATCATTCTTAAGTCATCAGTTTATCCATTCTCCGTCCATCATACGTTTATCATTCTTAAGTCATCAGTTTATCCATTCTCCGTCCATCATACGTTTATCATTCTTAAGTCATCAGTTTATCCATTCTCCGTCCATCATACGTTAATCATTCTTAAGTCATCAGTTTATCCATTCTCCGTCCATCATACGTTAATCATTCTTAAGTCATCAGTTTATCCATTCTCCGTCCATCATACGTTAATCATTCTTAAGTCATCAGTTTATCCATTCTCCGTCCATCATACGTTAATCATTCTTAAGTCATCAGTTTATCCATTCTCCGTCCATCATACGTTTATCATTCTTAAGTCATCAGTTTATCCATTCTCCGTCCATCATACGTTAATCATTCTTAAGTCATCAGTTTATCCATTCTCCGTCCATCATACGTTAATCATTCTTAAGTCATCAGTTTATCCATTCTCCGTCCATCATACGTTTATCATTCTTAAGTCATCAGTTTATCCATTCTCCGTCCATCATACGTTTATCATTCTTAAGTCATCAGTTTATCCATTCTCCGTCCATCATACGTTTATCATTCTTAAGTCGTCAGTTTATCCATTCTCCGTCCATCATACGTTTATCATTCTTAAGTGATCAGTTTATCCATTCTCCGTCCATCATACGTTTATCATTCTTAAGTGATCAGTTTATCCATTCTCCGTCCATCATACGTTTATCATTCTTAAGTCGTCAGTTTATCCATTCTCCGTCCATCATACGTTTATCATTCTTAAGTGATCAGTTTATCCATTCTCCGTCCATCATACGTTAATCATTCTTAAGTCGTCAGTTTATCCATTCTCCGTCCATCATACGTTTATCATTCTTAAGTGATCAGTTTATCCATTCTCCGTCCATCATACGTTTATCATTCTTAAGTCGTCAGTTTATCCATTCTCCGTCCATCATACGTTTATCATTCTTAAGTCGTCAGTTTATCCATTCTCCGTTCATCATACGTTTATCATTCTTAAGTGATCAGTTTATCCATTCTCCGTCCATCATACGTTTATCATTCTTAAGTCGTCAGTTTATCCATTCTCCGTCCATCATACGTTTATCATTCTTAAGTCATCAGTTTATCCATTCTCCGTCCATCATACGTTTATCATTCTTAAGTCATCAGTTTATCCATTCTCCGTCCATCATACGTTTATCATTCTTAAGTCGTCAGTTTATCCATTCTCCGTCCATCATACGTTTATCATTCTTAAGTCATCAGTTTATCCATTCTCCGTCCATCATACGTTTATCATTCTTAAGTCATCAGTTTATCCATTCTCCGTCCATCATACGTTAATCATTCTTAAGTCATCAGTTTATCCATTCTCCGTCCATCATACGTTAATCATTCTTAAGTCATCAGTTTATCCATTCTCCGTCCATCATACGTTAATCATTCTTAAGTCGTCAGTTTATCCATTCTCCGTCCATCATACGTTTATCATTCTTAAGTCATCAGTTTATCCATTCTCCGTCCATCATACGTTAATCATTCTTAAGTCGTCAGTTTATCCATTCTCCGTCCATCATACGTTTATCATTCTTAAGTCGTCAGTTTATCCATTCTCCGTCCATCATACGTTTATCATTCTTAAGTCGTCAGTTTATCCATTCTCCGTCCATCATACGTTTATCATTCTTAAGTCATCAGTTTATCCATTCTCCGTCCATCATACGTTTATCATTCTTAAGTCGTCAGTTTATCCATTCTCCGTCCATCATACGTTAATCATTCTTAAGTCGTCAGTTTATCCATTCTCCGTCCATCATACGTTTATCATTCTTAAGTCATCAGTTTATCCATTCTCCGTCCATCATACGTTTATCATTCTTAAGTCATCAGTTTATCCATTCTCCGTCCATCATACGTTAATCATTCTTAAGTCATCAGTTTATCCATTCTCCGTCCATCATACGTTTATCATTCTTAAGTCGTCAGCTTATCCATTCTCCGTCCATCATACGTTTATCATTCTTAAGTCGTCAGTTTATCCATTCTCCGTCCATCATACGTTTATCATTCTTAAGTCGTCAGTTTATCCATTCTCCGTCCATCATACGTTTATCATTCTTAAGTCGTCAGTTTATCCATTCTCCGTCCATCATACGTTAATCATTCTTAAGTCATCAGTTTATCCATTCTCCGTCCATCATACGTTTATCATTTTTAGGTTATCAGATTATCATCTGTCCATCACCTTTCAACTATGCGTCAATTATTTATCCATCTTACGTTCATTCTTCACCCATCGTATTTTCATCGTAAAGTGCCAACCGGCAAATCGGTAATCAATAACCTGTCATTAGTCAATTATCTTTGCGATTATTAACCAATCACTTGTATATATTGAAAAGTATTCAATCAACAAGTCGTCTTTCTGTCAGTCTTTAAGTTCTTTAACCCATTTTGAGTACATCCTTATTTCACAATCGTAAAGTGTCTAACCACATTTTACAATCGTAAAGTAACTGACCAAATTTCACACACATAAAGTGTCTAACCACATTTCACGAGTGTATAATCGCATTTCACGAACATAAAGTGTCTAATCGCATTTCACAATGACCAACCACATTTCACAATCATTAAGTATCTAGCCATATTTCACATAATTTAAAAATGCCAATATTAAATAGGACATTCAACTTTGATCAATTTTTTCCCGACGATCTTGATATTTTGACATTGTTACAGTGGACTTGGCTCAATCGGCGACAACACCACCTCAACCTACAGGGACAGCTGGAGACCAATGCAGTCATTCAGCTTTAAGGGACTTTACAATGCAATGGTCAACACCACAACGTTTCTCTTGGTTGAGACTGATCTTCAAACAAGGAGGTAACTAAAGCACTTTCGTTTTTAACTATGTTACTTTAACGATCTTCAAATAATAAAGATTACACTTCAACTTTAAAACCAGCCATACCCTGGGTGATATAGCATTTAGTATTTAATTAAATAATCATGAAACAAATATACTTTCTATAATCTTTGTAATTGAACATATTTTTATTTTATTTTTCAATACAAAAATATCATAATATCGTTCTAAATTTATATAGAGTCTCCAAAAGCATGTTTAATAGTGTACTGTTTTAGCACAGTTAGTAACCCTGATAGCTCAGTAGTAGTGACTGGTTAATTTCTCGTAGAAAAGTGTTGAACCGGGTCTAAAATTAAAGTTCCAGATTCTATCGACGACCTGAAGATCGTTTTTCGTCACTCACAAAACACCAACTGTCAGAATAGAAAGATGGCAGTAGTGAATGACAGGACGATTGACATTCACTGTGACACATGTCAGTTCCAAGAGCTTGTGTTCTCTGGGGCAGCATTGGTGGATCTGTGTAGAGTGCACATCAGTGGAGGTACTCATCTAGACACATGCACTTGAATATGTCTGTTTTAAGAGATTTTTGAACTCATAAAAACATCATTAATAACATTTTCACAAATGTTCTGACCCTTTAGAATTTGTTTCTATCATTTTATATGTGTGTCTGTTCTAACATCTTAGAATTTTTATAAAACATCGCATGCTTTATTTTATAAGAGTGTCTGTTCACACATCTATACAAGCTTGAGGGTTTAAAAAAATGAAAACAATTGTGAAACCTTATTTTGTTGAGTTTTTTCACCTTGAAAATTTAATTTATTCAAAATATGATTATGCAATATTTCATATTATAAATTTTAGAACTTAAATTTTTGTTTTTCACTGAAAAATATAACGTCACTTTATAAGCTAAAAAAGTTGAAATAATTATTTAAAAAAATTTAAAACCTGAACTCCAAAAAAAAATCATAATTTTAACCATTGAAATCCCAACACAGTGTACTAATTTTAACCCTTGTACTCCGTATACTGAGTACTATTAAACCTTTTACTCACAATACAGAGTCATAATTTTAGCTCTTGAACCTTCAGAACAGAGTACTAATGTTAACCCTTGAACCCAGAACCCCTGTCCTCCCAATACAGAGTACAAATTTTAACCCCTGAACTCCCAACAAAGATTACTAATTTAACCCTTGAACTCCCCAGGGCGAAACGTGGCCCTCAAGCAGCCGACATCACAAAGAAGCAACTACTCCGACAACGTGTGTAACGAAATGTGTTCCCTGTCGGGGAACGCTGTAGACGGGAACACAGACAGTAACTTGTACAGTCGGAGCTGTACTCACACGGACATCAGAGAGGCACGTCCATGGTGGAGGCTCGAGTTTACTCACCCCAAGGTCGTGACCAAGGTCGCGTTATACAACAGACATCGTAAGTTGGTTGTCTGGTGTGGTGGTGGCTCCGTGGTCGTGAGGTTGTTGTGATGAAGAGACAGTGGATTGTTTGTTTTTAGATATGTCTTTACGATAACGTAGAGAAAAAAAATAGCGTTGCAATGTGGCAAACGGTATTAGGTATAAAAAGGTCGACATTTGCTAGGATTGGATCACACATACATCTTATAACTTTAAATAATATAAAGACTGAAAAACTTTAGCAGGCTCACTTTAGGGAACTAAGGGTATATTGTTGACCACACTATCCCCCTGTATGTCTTGCAGTGTTTCTTTCAAACATTTTTCTTGGGGGGGGGGGGGGCACTTGATTAGCTGAGACGGAGGCAGGGGACATACCCCCCTCACCCAAGAAATGCCTGAAAGAAACCTTGATACCATGATCTTGAAACAAATGTACTCTACGACATCTGTCCCGTAAGTATTGGGTACCAACGGGAAAGAAGTTTAGCAGGAGCCGGTGTTGAATTGTGTTGTTGTAGCTCAAAGTCCTGTTGATGTGCTACGGCTGAACTGTGGGGGTTGTAAGTTAGCTATAGGAGCAGTGTAGACAAGGTATCAGTAAAACAAACCACGATAAAATTAATGTCATTTTTTTCACCTTATAGCACACGCGGAGCGGCTAGATAAGTTTTCGCTCTCGATGTTTACCAAAGAAAATCAGGCGATATTTAACTACACAGAGACTAGACAAGGATCTGCACCATCCTACACTGTATTGACCCCCGGGATTACACCTGTATCGTCCGCTAAAATCACGGCCTCTGGGAAAATTTTAACACTGTGTGAGGTAGAAGTGTTTGGAGGTTTGTGGATGGGTTGGACCCCATATCTTAAACTTTCATGTTATTAAAACCGTTATTAAAGCTAGCAACCTACTGGGTGAGCTTCAAACCTTTAATGTAATTAAAACCTCTTAAAAATTAAAATCTAAAACCTTCTGTTAAAACCATAAGTAACCATTCAAATAAGCCCAGTAAACTCATGAACACAACGTTAAGCAAATTAGGTTTTGTTAAAGTTTTCATTCAAACTTGATAATAAACAAAACATGAACCATTTGTACCAGATTCGGTGTGTCAACACGGACGGTTTGGTCGAGAGTGTGAACACACCTGCAACTGTGCCAACCAATCAGAAACCTGCTTTGTCAGTACCGGCGGATGTCCTTCTGGTTGTGCGGAAGGGTTTGTGGGTGAGAGGTGTGACGTAGGTGAGTTCTACATTTAATTAGCAATTATTTTGTAGAATGTGTAGGGCATACAAATATGACAACATAGAAACCTAGTGTCAGCCTGAGCTTTTGTGTTTAGGCTCAGCTGATCTACATAACAGAAATTAAGTAAATGTAACCCATATAACAGCAGAGGATAAGGTAAACTTAACCTATTTGCAACTAATGGAGACAGGAGTATAGGTGCGATATATATGAATCACTGAACGTGATATATTCAATCAACACGTGTATAGGGTGAGTACAGCTCACAAATTAGTAAAAGAGAGGATGTCTGGAAATAGAAGGTAACTCACCAAAACACAACGCATCTTGCTGAACACAACGCATCTTGCTGCGACAATTTTAACGACACGAGACCACTCTAATGAAGAATCTAACACTGTATTTAAACGTCTGACAGTATAAGTCAACTTACCAAAACAGAACGTATGTAATTGAGACAGACCACCCTAATGCAGACTCAACACTGTATTTAACTACATTTACAGCATGTGCTGACAGATTCTATGGCCCTCAGTGCAAGAACAGCTGCAGTGATTTATGTCTGGACAACAAGTGTCATCATGTCAATGGCAGCTGTCATGCATGTCATGTTGGCAAGCAAGGGGACGCCTGTAACCGCAGTAAGGATCCTGTTAACAAATCTTACACTCCTGACAGCGTTGTCTGTATATAAAGACACATCACATCATCACATAAAGCACAACTAGCTAACAGTTATATCCCAATGCTATGTTGTTTTTATTTACACTGAATATACTTGAAATAAAGTAGCATTCAATTAGTATCCGATCCCTAATGATAAACTGGTTTGGACTATGTTGTATCGTAGACCCCTAGAGGAAGGTCATGCTGACCAGGTACCTGTTTGACCTTTCAGATTGTGATGATTCTTTCTACGGCGTGAACTGTGCCCAGAGATGTACTGAGGCATGCAAGAACCGGCTGTGTGACACCATCAGTGGACACTGTAGGGACTGTCCTGCGGGGAGGCATGGGGACCTTTGTCAACATGGTCAGCAAGATATATATATGTATATATATATATAAATATATATATATATATATATATATATATATATATATATATATATATATATATATATATATATATATATATATATATATACATATAAATATAAATATCGTTCTTCTGTTAACTGATCTAGTTTCTTGTGATCTGAACAGAATGTGATGAAGGTACATACGGCGACAACTGCAGCCAAAACTGTAGCTCTAGATGCCGACACGGACACTGTGACCACACCAACGGGACCTGTCTCAGCGGGTGCTTGTCTGGGTTTCAGGGAGACTTTTGTGACCGGGGTACTGGACCTAAGTTTGTTTTAATTAGCGTTCATTAAGCTGATTGGAATATGGCTACTAGAACAATTACTTAACGGACACAATTAAAATGATGACATGGTGTTTCAGCCAGCACTAAGTGAACACCATACTTTCAGAGTAATTCAATACAACACGATTGAACTGATCACGTAAAATAATTAAACAAATACGGGTTTCGAGCTTTGTTAATTTGTTTATTTAAAAATAATTGCTTCATACTTTGCTATTTTTCTGCTTCATACTTCACCCATAGTACTGTTTTATAATTTACCACTGTTCTGCATCAAACTTTACCATACATCTGCTTCATACTTTACAATTGTTCTGCTTTATACTTTACCATTGTTATGGGAAAAGTTGTGATAACTGAATGTTTTTTTTTTAAAAATCTATTTTCAGCTGTATCCGCTGATCCGTTCATAATGCTGTTAATATTTGGTGGCTCAATCAGCGGCTTAATCCTAATCCTAACAGTATCGTTAATCACCTGCTGGTAACTCATTTTTCAATATTCCCTCTCGTGGTTTCATCCTAATCCTTACAGCTACAGTCATAACCCGCTAGATACTAAACCTTCTAGACTTTGTGTGTGTGTGTGTGTTTGTGTGTGTGTGTGTGTTTGTGTGTGTGTGAGTGTGTGTGTGTGTGTGTGAGTATGTGTGTGAGTATGTGTGCGTGTGTGTTTTACAAACGATACAAGCCACTGGTCAAACTTGATAAAGGTTTGAACAACAAATTCCATGCACCCCTCGAGCCGTACAATGGTGTAAACGTCAACTTTTATATCATGTTCTTGTCTTGTACGCTAGGAGGTGCAGGAGAATGAGACAGACGAAGAAAGACAAGTCTCTACTACAGGACATGGAACTAACTGATCTCAATGTCTCCATGAGACACAAGACCAAACACGTTCGAGGTAAACTTTTGTTACATATTGTATTATGTAAATGTTTGTTACTGTTGTTAAAGGTAAACTTTTGTTACAGTTTGGTGGTAAACATTTGTTACACATTGTCATAGGTAAATGTTTGTAGCAACTGTTCGAGGTAAACATTTGTTACACATAATTGTCATAGGTAAATGTTTGTAGCAACTGTTAGAGGTAAACATTTGAAACTTATCTCGTCTAACTCACCTTGCCATCCTTACCGTACGACTAATTCTAACCGGAGCCCAACCAACAGCTGCACCGTTCTGTTACTATCCTCTACGATCTAAAAAGGACCTGACACAGGCATTGAATTTCATAATTATAACAGAAAACGGTGTCTTTTACTTTCAAAGTTTTTTACAATATTAAGTTATGTGGTCTCTTATTTGTCGTTGTTCCACTGCGTGGGCACACATCTTTCAATCCTTTAGGCTCTACATTCAACGGAGGGATTTTGGTGCCTGAATCACTACTTTCCACCCAGGCTTATTATCTGTTTTTCGCCACGTCTGGTGTAGGTCAATCTCCACGTCAAAAAGCCGTCTTAGTCTAGACCCGTCTTGTGGTATTTTACGTTTGTGTTACGCTATGGACAGGGGTCTGAGTGTTATTTCTAAAACTTTGAATCATTTCCTTGGAGGTGAATTCAAGAGGCCCACAAAACTCATTGTTTTGTCACAATGTAGTATATCGAAAAAGATTTTAGGTGACTATTTTCAACCAATAGCTGTTTCACTTATTGCTACTAATTCCGTTTCCTTAAACAACATATACAGATATATTTTGTAAAGAACTAACTAATATGAGAGTATTAAAATGAATATTTAGCAGTGCCAACCGTTTGTGTCTACCTAATTTAGTGTTACCAGAAAAATCGTCTAAAGATTCCAGCCAAAGTGCCTTGGACCACGCTAACAGTGCCATACAGTATGGTGCAACAGCAATACACATGGACAGCTTCAACAGCTACATGCTGACTCACAATAAGGACTTTTTGGTCACACAATTTGAGGTAATGTCGCCTTTCACTCAATGTAAGGTAATGTCGTCTTTCTCACAATTTGAGGTAATGTCGCCTTTCTCACAATTTGAGGTAATGTCATTTATCTCACAAAATCAGAACGCTAAAGCGCTGGTTCGAATACACGCTGGTTCTCTGTTAAATAATGCAGAAAAATAACATTTCCACAAATCTTCGTCTTCATTTTGTGAGCCAAATAAAGTTTTTGAGAAGGCCTATCTCCCCCCCCCCCCCACCTAATATACCCCTCTGGTTTCGAACCCTGACCTTGTTTGTTCCAGAACATCCCACAGAACGTGACGGCCACGACAAATGTTGGACTGAGCAGTGAGAACAGGGGCAAGAACTTCACGAGAAACATCTGTGCTTGTGAGTACTGTCATTAGATGACATGTTGACATTTCTCAAGATGACATCTGGACATTTCTCAAGATGCCATATAGAGATTTTAAGGGGCTGTATTTTATTAAATGACATAATGACATTAGCTTAGAGTCTTTTTTAACGACATTTTGAAGTTTTCATGAGGACATTTTCGTTACAAAATATGTTTACGTATATTTTACACTGGAGAGTTGTTAGTTTTACGTCCTCCCCCACTCTATCTATACATGGGAATACTTATGTGTGCCTGTGTGTGTATGTGTGTGTGTGTATGTGATTGTATGTGTTTAGAAATTCAGCCATATAAAACACAGAATTAACCATGACACTAACCATGCCTTTAACCAAACACGCGGTGTGTTAACTCTAACCAATTCCTAACTTTAACCAAACACGCGGTGTGTTAACTCTAACCAATTCCTAACTTTAACCAAACACGCGGTGTGTTAACTCTAACCAATTCCTAACAGACGACCACTCCCGTGTTAAACTCAAGACCAAAAATGACAAGAAAAAATCTGATTACATCAACGCTTCTTACATACAGGTAAGCGTTTTTTTTTGTTTGAATGTAAGCAATAATGACCTACCTAAACTCTACTGACCTACAAATATTTGAGAACAACATATTGTAATATTTATCGCGAGAACAATTCGTTTTACTGCGCTAAAGTACGTGTCCACAGATAATTAAAACATTAAATACGGCAACAAATTGGTAGGATTGCAGACTGGACACCTGCAATTCGAAAGTCGCTAGTTAGGACCTCAGGCCAACAAGAAAGTAATGCCCGACTGTCAATCAGATATTCCCGTGGGGGTCAGGGCTATGACAGCACACCCAGGAATATGTCCTGACATAACGGGTAGACACGGAATAAAAATAAGTTAATAAAAAGTCTAGTGACAATTTAAGCGCAATTTCCTTATGTTATCTAAAAATAGATATAATGCTGGGGTGCATTCAAGCTAGGAGAACGATCGGTTTGTAGGTGTTTATGTAATTTAAAAAAATTGTTAGTAACCGAACGAAAGAATATTTTTGAAAACTTTCTTCAGCAATATTGTTCTAAATTATGGCAGGAATCGATTGGTAAATGTTTCAAGTCGCTAAGTGGTCTGGTTGCCAAGATATGGGCCAAAAACTGCATTTTTTCGAGTTTTTTTGGCTTTTCTGGGAAATCCAGGAAGGAATTCCGGGAATTTTTTGACCCACAATCATCCTCGGAACTTGCTTAACATATTTGCTTTTGGAACTAGTCCTCGATATAGCTTCGTTGAGGAGGAGATACCACTTAAAGCTGCGGACACACATCCATCCATTCATACATCCAGAAATGACGAGTTAATAATCGCAATTGTTCGTATGGAAATTGCGCTAAAAATCATGTTGGAAAAAAAACGACATTGATGGACATTACAGCTTAGGACACACAAGACATGATTTAATTATTGTTTTATTGTTGCCTGTTTTGTTTCAAGCGTAATGACTTTATCAGATATTAGAGTAACTGTATCAGGTAATATAGTGACTTTATCAGATATTATAGTGATTATATCAAATATTATAGTGACTTTATCAGATATTGTTATTATCACTTTTTAAAACTTTTTTCGCTTAACTTCACATACAATATTTGGTATATCAGAAGCTAAATATCTCGGAAAAAAGACAATTAGTTACGGTGTATTTTTAGACAAAAATTGTAAACGGTTGCAGTAGTAATGTTCCTGTTTTGTTTTAGAGTTCATCGAACAAATCAATCTACATCGCCTCTCAAGGTAATCCAAATTTTATTTTAATCAAAAGCATGAAGCATGACTAGTCTGTAGTTTAATGCGATTTAATTTACCTAATTTAATAAATAACTACAGCATGTACCGAACTTTCCTTTTCCATTGATAACATCATCTGTACCCTGATATATGGGCAACATCTGTCTGTGATGTACATTCAGGGGCGTAGCGAGGGGGGGGGCGGGGGGTGCGGACCGCACCGGGTGACACCATTTAGGGGGGTGACACCAAGGCAAAAAATAGCAAAATATATAGAGAAAAACTCGAGGGGGGGGGGTGCAAATCGAAAGTTTGAGGGGGGGGGGGTGCAAATCGAAAACTTGAGGGGGGTGCAAATCGAAAGTTTGAGGGGGGGGGGGGTGAAAATCGAAAATTTGAAAGTTTGTCCCTGGGAAGGGTATCTATGCCTCTGGGGGGGGGGGGGGGGGGTGACACCATTAAGTGCCGCACCGGGTGACACCCAACCTCGCTACGCCACTGTGTACATTGCTTATAGTTCCAGTAATAAATTGTTTAATACAAGTTAGATGAACATTGTATGTAGTCCCAGTATTAAATCGTTTAATACAAGTTAGATGTACATTGTTTATAGTCCCAGTATTAAATCGTTCAATACAAGTTAGAAGGACAATCATAAGAGTTGTTTCCCCTCACAGCCCCCACCAAAACCAGCGTCATAGAGTTTGTACGGATGTTGTGGGAACAGAAGGTGGAGAAGGTTGTCATGTTGGTCTCTGAGCATCACGTGAGTACTGGCTGATGTCATTCAGGTGACGTCAGTTTTCATGGGCGGGGACATGCTGTCGATGACTGTCAAGTGGTTTTGATTGCGCTTAATTCTATCACAAAACGTTTGATTTCTCGACATTTGACATTAGAAGACGATAATACCTAAACCTAATTTAGATGGGGAATAGTTTTGATTAAAAGAAACGAAGAATCGCTAAATTTACGTGAAATTGCGTTTCTGATATTTCTAAACATGTATAATATGTTGAGTGATGCTGTATTGAATGGTATGACGTCATGCTAATTACCTGTGATGACCTCAGGAAAAATTAGAGAAGTACTGGCGTGATGACGGGGACATTGTGTTTGGTGACGTCAGAGTCAGGCTAGCCAGTAGCCAGGTCTTTGCTGACTTTACTGTCCGTAGGCTGGAGCTTAATAAGGTAAGTAATGGAGTTTAATGGGAGCTTAATAAGGTAGGCAATGGAGCTTAGTGGGAGCTTAATAAGGTAGGAAATGGAGTTTAGTGGGAGCTTAATCGGTAGGCAATGGAGTTTAGTATTAGCTTATTAGGAGCTTAATAAGGTAGGCAATGGAGCTTAGCGGGACCTTAATAAGGTAGGAAATGGAGTTTAGTGGGAGCTTAATAAGATAGCCAATGGAGTTTAGTGGAAGCTTAATAAGGTAGGCGATGAGGTCAATTGGGAGCTTAATAAGGTAGGCAATGGACTTTAGTGAACTTAGGCTGAAGCTTAATAAGGTAGGCAATAGAGTTTAGTGGGAGCTTAATAATTAGGATAATTAGATCTTTTTAAAGCATTAAAAATTTATACCTACGTGTCTTGTATTTTTAACGCGCATGCATCAACGACACAGAGAGAGAAGCCGCTTCACATTGTCCTACAATATCACTACACCGCCTGGCCGGATAAAGGAATCCCGCCATCTTTGTGGAGTCTGGTCGATTTCCAGCAGAGAGTGACGTCATATCCGTCATGTAGGCCAACCCTGGTTCACTGCAGGTGAGTTGAGTCAAACAAAATATTTCCCACTAAACAGTGGCGTAGCTAGGGTTCCTTCTATCTCCTGCTGACCTGCTTGGGTGCGTTAACCAAGTGACCACCGCATGCATGAAACGTCCTCTAGAAAACTCGTTGAATTCAGACTACTTTTATAAAAAAAAATGATAAAAGAATAAAGTAATATATATCCTTATTCCACTTTCCTTCTCTTGTGCCAATAAGCTTACAGAGCAGGTTATTTAATACTGGAATTGGAATATGGGGATGGAGTTGAGACATTTGTTAGTAAACTCAGCTGGTTTAAAACTGAAAATTATTGGACTACACAGATTTTGGGAGATTAACGCAAATAATCTAAGAGATTATGAAAAAATGTTTTAAAATAATCTTCTCGCAAAATGATAAATCGCTACATCTTAATGAGTATTTATTCAACATGGTTATAAACGAAAATCTTAAAGTCATGTTAAGAGAGTTTAGATTAAAGTAGATAAAAAACCACAATGTATGTTTGTTCTTTGGTTTCTTTATAGTGGGGGCGTGGCCAACACAGGGACGTTTATCGCCCTTGAACTGATCCTACACGACATTAAGTCCACTGGCTACATGGACTTCTTCAACACAATATGGCGGCTACGTCAGGACCGGATGCACATGGTACAAACTGCGGTGAGTCTATAACGACAGATCTGACGAGAAGAGATATCACCCTTTCATTTTGTCGCCGTATTTAAAAAAAAAATCTTTATGGGTAATAAATTACAGTATTACATCAACGCTAGCTGGCAGGAGAGGAAAGGTAAGATATTCACATAAAAATAATTGTGGACTTGAGGTTCAATCTAAACTTCAAAGTTCACCACGCTAGGATCAAATTGTTGACCCATAAAATACAAATGATTAATTTAGAAGATAAAGCACCACGAGCTATTGACCACGTGAGGTCTGGGTAATGACAAGCACTTACAATACACATTTACGTACATCTTCTTCCATAAGGTTCTACAGATAAACACACTAACCCATACCCTAACAGATAAACACACTAACCCTAACAGATACACACACTAACCCTAACAGATACACACACTAACCCTAACCCCACTTACCACAGGAGCAGTACATCTTCCTCCATAAGGTGGTACAGGTGGCCGTGTTGTGTGCCGGTACAAATGTCCAGACAGAAGATGTCCAAGACAGGACATCAAGAATGGACATGAGGACATTCTCAGGACTGACCTACGCCGAGAAGGAGTTTACGGTAAACATTCCAATTTCAAGTTCTAATGAAAATATTTAATTTGAAAGCTATTTCAATCACAAAATAAAAATAAAATACCCTTCTAAACCAGAAGGTGGGGGATGGGGGGGGGGGGGACGAGGGACGGATGGGTTGGGCAGACGAGTTTGATAGCCAACCTCCAAAGTCCTTAGTTCGGTCCTCGGACAGATGAGATCGATAGCTGAGACGACAACTTATCTTTGGAGAGACAACTCCACCATCAAACAACTATTGCCCTGCATCTTGTTCTTGGTTAGACAATGGCTGTGGTAGCAAATACAAAAAGAAAAGCAGGCTGAAGTCGGAGTCAATGGTGGAAATGGCGCTTAACAAGTTGCCACGTAATTGTTGAGGAGGAAATCTTCGGCATTATATAATTCAGAACGAAGAAGAAGGAAAACTAGACGGCCCGGGAGAGTGTGGGGTGAAGTAGAGTCCAAATGTGTTTCTAGCCTCGGTGTATGAAAGGATACTGTGGACAGCACCAGTCTCAGTCACCCGGACTGGAGTCAAGCACTTTTTATTTCTAGTATCGGTCTTCATTAAACATATACGTCAAGGCTTCACAACGACCAGTACACAACTATATGGCACACTGTTAGAACCGAATTTTAAAACTCCACTTTTGTATTAGAATATAATCACGCTAGGTACGGGAATAAAACTAAATATTTTTAGTTACGGTTCTAAAATATCGCTGGTGATTATCTACACAGGCGGTGTGTAACTGTATCATAGATTTTGTTCCACAGGCGGTGTGTAACTGTATCATAGACGGCAGCAACTACCTGAAAGGCAACAGAAAAAGTCGGATCAGCCGTTACCTGCATCAGCTGGTGGATGAGACAAGTTTACACGGCAGGTCTTACACCCAGGCACAAGGTAATCAGTTTACACCCAGGCACAAGGTAATCTGTTTACACGGCAGGCTTTACACTCAGGCACCAGGTAACCAGTTTACACCCAGGCACAAGGTAATCAGTTTACACGGCAGGCTTTACACTCAGGCACCAGGTAACCAGTTTACACCCAGGCACAAGGTAATCAGTTTACACGGCAGGCTTTACACTCAGGCACCAGGTAACCAGTTTACACCCAGGCACAAGGTAATCAGTTTACACGGCAGGCTTTACACTCAGGCACCAGGTAACCAGTTTACACAGGAGGGCTTGCACTCAAGGTAACCAGTTTACACTCAGGCACCATGTAATCAGTTTACACCCTGGCACCAGGTAACCAGTTTATATAAGCTGTTTACCAAATTTACCTGTAAAATAAAGTGAACTGCATGCATGACTACGTTGTCACAGTTAAGCTCGTTTGTTTCTTACAACACAAATAAAACAAAATATTCAAATTAGATTCAATAGACAAAAACCGTGAAAAACGATTTTAATATTTACCTATACTGAAAGCGTAAACATAATATTTCACTATAAATATTTCAATATTCATACTACAAAGAAATGGTTTATACAATACTATATTTTTTTTTTACTTCTAATGAATAAACCTTCAATTTGGCAGGGTATAAAGTAAATTTGTCTGGCCAATACCGAAAAAGTGCAGATAACAAGAGCGTGATTCTACTTCCGGTAAGAAGAGTCGTGTTGTCAGGGATAAAGTGGGTTGAGGGGGATGTGGGGTGTGAACAGCGGATGAATGGAATTCGTTATCAGAGTATGCCTACGTCACACATATGGGTGTGAATAAAATTAAACCATTCCCGTGGTCAATGATACAAATATTAACTTTTGAACAGAGCTTAACCAAACCAAATCAGCATATGTTAACACCTTTACCTGTGGACACACCTGTGACAAACTTCTGGACGCTGGTGCTACAGCATCGGATCACGGTCATCATAGCGTTCGAACCTCGAGACTCGGACAAACAGGTGACGTCACCTTCTTGTAACTATGGAAACACAATGTTGTCTGGTAAATTACATTGTAAAATACTTATATTTGATTGACTGTGTTAATTAGGTGGTCAGTCACTATCTGCCGGCCAGCAAGAACGAGGTCATCCACTGCGACCAAATGGACGTGGAGGCAGGAACGATAACCACAGGTCCCTACTGGCAGGAACACAAACTGACCATCACATTACGTCACAAGAAAAAAACAAAGGTCTGATCACTGTGTCCATGTCTGATTATAAATATAGTGTCAATGTTATATTTTATGCACTAAAACATTCTCGAGATTTAGAAAATAAAGGTCTGATCATTCTGTTAATGGGGAACTGAGTGGCACAGCGATAGAGAGCTAGACTGCTAACCTGAAAGTTAGAATCCGGGTTCAAGTCAGTTGACCAAGCTTTGATGGGTACTCACGTTAAGGAAAGTAAAGACGACTGGGCATAGTGCTGACCACAATATCCCTTCATATGCCGAGGTCACACAAACAGGTTAACTCTCACGAAACGTCTTTTAAATAAACGTAGTCTTTCTCTCACCAGGCATATGACAAGTACCACGTGACCCACTACAAATACACAGACGACATCTTCAACCCTGAGAGTGTTCTGGCATTCATTGAACGCGTGAGGCTGGGTTCGGATCAACATGAGAAGATCATGTTCACTGGTCTGTGAGTAGATGTTAAGAAAAACATTGTCTTGAATTAACTTCTCTCTGTTCCTACTTTAGTTCTTTCGTGTTCTTCTTCGTTCTAAATTCTAGTGTTGGAAAAGTTTCCCCTCCAACACAATTAAGTGTATGCGCCATATAGGCCGTTGACTCCGATTTCAGCCTGCTTTTCTTTTGGGATTTCCTTCCATAGCCTTCGTCCACCTACAACAGTTGTTTAATTTTGGAGTTGTCTCTTCCAGAAGAGTTGCTGTACCCAGCTATCAAGCCTCATCTGCCCAAGGGTTCGAACTCGAGACTTCGGTTTAGCAACCATGAGCTTTACCGACTCGACCACTCCGACCCTGATCTTTCATCGTTTTAAGACAATGTTTTACAAAGCCTGGGTAGAACAAAAAAGTTTCAATGTTTTCCTCTGTAGACATCATAGTCTGATCAGGTACTTGAATGTTTCCCTCTGTAGACATCATAGTCTGATCAGGTACTTGAATGTTTCCCTCTGTAGACATCATAGTCTGATCAGGTACTTGAATGTTTCCCTCTGTAGACATCATAGTCTGATCAGGTACTTGAATGTTTCCCTCTGTAGACATCATAGTCTGATCAGGTACTTGAATGTTTCCCTCTGTAGACATCATAGTTAGATCGGTTACTTGAATGTTTCCCTCTGTGACTTCCAGGAGCGGAGCAGAAGAGAGCGGCCTGTTGTATGTGCTGACCTCCTTACTGGACCGGCTGGACAACGACAACTGTATCAACATCCCCCTGCTGGTTGGTGCCGTCAAGTCGTGTCATCTACAGGTCATTCCCACGCTGGTAAGGTCTTTATCTAGGTCAGCAGGTCATTCCCACGCTGGTAAGGTCTTTATCCAGGTCAGTAGGTCATTCCCACGCTGGTAAGGTCTTTCTCTAGGTCAGTAGGTCATTCCCACGCTCGTAAGGTCTTTATCTAGGTCAGTAGGTCATTCCCACGCTGGTAAGGTCTTTCTCTAGGTCAGAAGGTCATTCCCACGCTGGTAAGGTCTTTCTCTAGGTCAACAGGTCATTCCCACGCTCGTAAGGTCTTTCTTTAGGTCAACAGGTCATTCCCACGCTGGTAAGGTCTTTATCTAGGTCAGTAGGTCATTCCCACACTGGTAAGGTCTTTCTCTAGGTCAACAGGTCATTCCCACACTGGTAAGGTCTTTATCTAGGTCAGCAGGTCATTCCCACACTGGTAAGGTCTTTATCTAGGTCTAGGTCAGCAGGTCATTCCCACGATGGTAAGGTCTTTCTCTAGGTCAACAGGTCATTCCCACGCTGGTAAGGTATTTATCTAGGTCAGCAGGTCATTTCCACGCTGGTAAGGTCTTTATCTAGGTCAGCAGGTCATTCCCACGCTGGTAAGGTCTTTCTCTAGCTCAACTAGTCACATTGGCAAGGTCTTTTGTTTGGCCAGTATTCTAAAGTCATAATAAAAAATAAAATCTTTCTCTAGTTCAATATTCTAGCCTCAAATAAACATTGATAAGGTCTTTTTCTAGGTCATACCTGAGCAGGTATTTTTATCTAGGTCTGCAGATTATACTCAATCTAATGAGGTCTTTATCTAAGTCAGTTATTTAAAGTTATATCCAAGTTGGTAAGGTCTTCTTTTCGGCTACATTTTAAGGTAGTGAGGTCTTTTTCTAGACCAACAGGTCATATTTCTTCCAACTGCAGCTAAACGTTTTGGAAGCGGTACCTTTTAATTAAGGTCATAACCATGGCTGTGAGGTCTTTCGTCAGGTTAACCCCAACCTTTTTAGGTCATAACCAGCTTAGGTCATAACCAAACTGCTCTCCATTTTTATGATAGTCAATATAATCAGTGGCGTAGGCAGAGGGGGGGTTAGGGGGGGTCATAACCCCCCCCCCCATAGACCCCTCGGTATAGATATATAAAGTATGAAGGGGGTGTAAATCGAAAGTTTGAGGGGGGGGGGTGCAAATCGAAAGTTTGAGTGGGGGGTGCAAATCGAAAGTTTGAGGGGGGGGGGATGCAAATCGAAAGTTTGAGGGGGGGGGGGGTGCAAATCGAAAGTTTGAGGGGGGGGGGATGCAAATCGAAAGTTTGTCCCCGGGTAAAAATTGGAACCCCCCCCCCCCCCCCCCCCCCTTGAGACGATCCTGGCTACGCCACTGAATATAATATTAAAACATACCAGTATAGTTCTATGTCTTTTTTCTAGGACTACTACAAAGTACTGTACAAGGTGGTCAACTTGTATGTTGAGAGCCTGTTGTCCAGCAGTGGACAGTCGTGTCGACCAGTGAGTGCCTACATTCAGATGACGTCACCCGTGTGGAACTTGAGACCGCCAGAGACAGAAAATATTTACGCCAACACGGAACCTGTGTACATGGTAAAATATTCTCGGCATTCATAGAAAATATTTACGCCAACACGGAACCTGTGTACATGGTAAAATATTCTCGGCATTCACTGTATGAGTTATGTTTGGTGGAGTGATTGCTATTTACGCCAACACGGAACCTGTGTACATGGTAAAATATTCTCGGCATTCACTGTATGAGTTTTGTTTGGTAGAGTGGCTTCAATGAGGCTAATTTTTAAGTTGAACAATACATCTAACATTATATGACTTAAGATTGTATTGAAAAAACTTTACAATTTCTTTTTATAGACTGCTGGGTGTCCTGTGGTGCGAATTTGAGAACTGGTGAAGAACTTTTCATGCCATTCAGTGTTGGATTTATAAGAGGGCCATCCAGTGTTGGATTTATAAGAGGACTACCCAATGTTGGATTTATAAGAGGGCCATCCAATGTTTGATTTATAAGAGGGCCATCCAGTGGTTGATTTATAAGAGGGCCATCCAGTGTTGGATTTATAAGAGGGCCATCCAGTAGTTGATTTACAAAAGGGACATTCATTATTGGATGTGAAAGAGGACATTTGTGGATCGTCATCAAACTTATTGGCGGCCATCCTATGGTAGAGACAACCGGGGCCATCCTGTGTTGCGTATACTTGGGGCCACCCGTGTTTGTTTAATGTGCTCGGGGCCATTCCGTTTTACATTTACTTGGCGCTATCCCTTGTTGCGAGTACTCGCATTAAGAAATATATAGGAATACAGGAGTAGCCTAGGTAGTGCACTAAACTAGGAGCTAAACTAGGAGCCAGCAGAAGTGTCACATACCTATGTTCCAGTTACCGTACCATGATGAATACACTCTGAACTCTTCCATTTTGAATAGAGGGTAGCGTGTTCGAGTCGGTAAAGCTCATGGTTGCTAAACCGATGTCTCGAGTTCGAACCTTCGGGCAGATGAGGCTTAATAACTTGGGACAGCCACTCTTCTAGAAGAGACAAATCCAAAATCAAACAACTGCTGCCTTGTAGTTTGTTCTTGGTTGGACAAGGGCTATGGAAGCAAAGCCAAAAAGAAAAGCAGGCTCAAATTGGAGTCAACGGCCTTTAAGATGCATAGATCAGTTGACAGGTAATACTTAATTGTGTTGGAGGGAATCCCTTCCTATACTTAAAGTAAGTACAAAGAAGAAGAAGATTGAATCACGACTGTCAAATGTTCCAATGTGTTCGTTTTTAGCAAGTTTTGTTTTCTTACAAATTTCTGTTTTTTAATTTTTTGAATTAAGAAAAGTACATTTTCATGAGTGGCTGGACAGCACAAAATTGCCGACTCTCAAAGTTAAACCTGTGTGCTGAATCCTCTGGTACAAGATACTTGTGGTAAAGATACCCAGTCATTAGTTGTCTCAAGACTGCAGATATTTTTGTTCGATTGTAATGTAACTGATACATTTATTATTTCAATATGATGATGAATTGAACTTTTTGTCATACTTGTAAAATAAAATAAATTAAAATGCCCTTTGTTTTTTATTACTTAAATTACAAAGCTCTAAAAACTAAATATAACTGAATATTTAAGTAAGTTAGTTCTAATAAAAAAAAGCAAAATTAATCATAACTTAGAAAACAATTTAATCAATTAAAGAAATACATGTCCCTGTTGAACGTATGTTCCCTGACAGTTTGAACGTATGTTCCCTGACAGTTTGAACGTATGTTCCCTGACAGTTTGAACGAATGTTCCCTGACAGTGCAATCTTTAGGGATACTTGAACTAGAGGCGTTAGGGACATCAGCTGTGTGCTATCACCCGACACGGTAATCAAGTACAACACACTCAAGCTATATATCTGGAGCTAGTGATCGCAATCATAATTAAACATATACATAGATCTAGCACATATAAATATAAATCATGCTAACTAGACTGATTTGTAAAGTTCCATTTTCGAACCAGACGGTCCATGAAATAGACTTCACCTTTTCTATAGCATCGGTAAATGAAGGGGTAGCATTGTCAGCACTATGCCAAGCCGCCTTTACTTTCCTTAACGTGGGTCAGGTACTCATTAGAGCTGGTTAGACTCAGTGACGTTATACTGACTTGAACCTGGATTCGAACTCGATACTTTCGGGTTAGCAGTCTAGCGCTCTATCCAGAGGCCGCGGAGAAAGGGAATGAATTTGTAAAGTTTCATCTACAAGACACCTAAAACACCTGTGTTTGAATAAGGAAATTGAAAAATTATACATTCACACACATATAAACTCACACATACACACGAACACACACACACGAACACACACATGCATGTATCTAAGTTCCCTCAAAGATGAGCTTTCACTTTCTGTGAGTTCAAGGATCATAATCAAAGTAATTATATCATCAAGTTGGCTACACTTCAGCTTAAAACAGTTTGGTGAGTCATTAGTATCGTTTCCTACATGCTACCCACAGACCGAAACTCATTCAAACACAACAGAGTGGTATTGAAGTGTTCCACATCTGTTTTTTTATTTGGTTCGTTTCAGATGTAAAGGGTTAAAGTCTCAAGGATGTTTTAGATAGTAATGTAAAGATGAATTGTCGGTTGTTTATATTTAAAATCGTGCAACATCATCACGGGTAGCTGGAGTTATGAAATCAATTTTAGCGTGTATTTGGATGTATTAGGTCAAGTTTTAGCGAGTATTTGGATGTCTTTAGTCAAGTTTTAGCGTGTATTTGGGTATTAAGTCAATTTTTAGCGTGTGTATTTGGATTTATTAGGTCAAGTTTTAGCGTGTATTTGGATGTATTAAGTCAAGTTTTAGCGTGTATTTGGGTATTAAGTCAATTTTTAGCGTGTGTATTTGGATTTATTAGGTCAAGTTTTAGCGTGTATTTGGATGTATTAAGTCAAGTTTTAGCGTGTATTTGGGTATTAAGTCAAGTTTTAGCGTGTATTTGGGTATTAAGTCAATTTTAGCGTGTGTATTTGGATGTATTAGGTCAAGTTTTAGCGTGTATTTAGATGTATTAAGTCAAGTTTTAGCGTGTATTTGGATGTATTAAGTCAAGTTTTAGCGTGTATTTGGATGTATTAGGTCAAATTTTAGCGTGTGTATTTGGATGTATTAGGTCAAGTTTTAGCGTGTATTTAGATGTATTAAGTCAAGTTTTAGCGTGTATTTGGATGTATTAAGTCAAGTTTTAGCGTGTATTTGGGTATTAAGTCAAGTTTTAGCGTGTATTTGGATGTATTAAGTCAAGTTTTAGCGTGTATTTGGGTATTAAGTCAATTTTAGCGTGTGTATTTGGATGTATTAGGTCAAGTTTTAGCGTGTATTTAGATGTATTAAGTCAAGTTTTAGCGTGTATTTGGATGTATTAAGTCAAGTTTTAGCGTGTATTTGGATGTATTAGGTCAAGTTTTAGCGTGTGTATTTGGATGTATTAAGTCAGGTTTTAGCGTGTATTTGGGTGTATTAAGTAGTCAAGTTTTAGCGTGTATTTGGGTGTATTAAGTCAAGTTTTAGCGTGTGTATTTGGATGTATTAAGTCAGGTTTAGCGTGTAACCTAGTTGGATGTATTAAGTCAGTTTTAGCGTGTATTTGGATGTATTAAGTCAAGTTTTAACGTGTTTATTCGAATGTATTACGTCAAGTTTTAGCGTGTGTATTTGGATGTATTACGTCAAGTTTTAGCGTGTTTGGGTGTATTAAGTTAAGTTTTAGCGTGTATTTGGATGTATTACGTCAAGTTTTAGCGTGTATTTGGATGTATTAGGTCGTTTTAGCGTGTATTTGGATGTATTAAGTCAAGTGTTAGCGTGTATTTGGGTGTATTTAGTCAAGTTTTAGCGTGTATTTGTGTGTATTAAGTCAAATTTTAGTGTGTATTTAGATGTATTAAGTCATGTTTTAGCTTTTTGTTGAGATATTTACTTTTAATATATGAATTCCCCAGTCCTGGAAATGTCTGTTTTGTGAACATTTCTTTTTGTTAGTAACTTTATTCACCTATTGATAAATAACGTCTTTAAAAAAAAAGTTTGTACCTAACCTCGCTGGTTTAACGGTCGACTGAAAGCCAAACAAACAAGATTTTGGTTTTAAATAACGCTGTGATTGGCACACATCAAAGAAGGAAATAAAACAAATTTCCAAGAAATTTACAGCTGGATTCATGCGTAGTCGTGAAAAAACGTTCCACTTTCTATAACGGAACATGTCTTACAACTAGAACATTACATCTGACGCCGTGTGTGGATGAGTAGCCGTTTTTAGTTTGTCAGTTTATTTGTTTGTGGATTTGTGGCAAATCTGGTAACTCAATTTTAGACCATTTGTATTAAATAACATTTTAAATTCTTCAGATACCTTCTTCTTCAATGACAATGCAAGATTATCTAATTTGTAATCTAATCAGATCGACAATTTAATTTTAAAATTACTGCATAAAATAATAAAAGGGGAGATAAGATATAAACAGTGGCGTCGCTAGGTGGGGTGTCACCCTGTGCTGCACTTCGTGGTGTCACCCCCCCCCAAGAAACAATATATACATATATATATATATATATATGTATATATATATATATATATATATATATATATATATATATATATATGCAACTGGCAACAAGCATTTTTCTTCTGTACTTTTTGCTATTTTTGCCATGGCGTAACCCCTCTAAATGGTGTCTACCGGTGCGGTCCGCACCCCCCCCCCCCCCGCCCCGCCGTCGCTACGCCTCTGGATATAAAACTAGCGGGCAATCGTTTGATCAGTTGACTTTCGTGGGTGAACTGTTCGTCACGGTTGGCTGATTTCTTGCCCTACCGTCAACCACGAGCTTAGTTGAGACGAATAACTAAATAACTAAAATTATTGGTAAATTGGTTTAGTAAATATTTTTATGTCGTTGTCTATGCAGTGTCAACTTCATTTTGAATAAATGACTAAAAAGTGGAAAATGAAACAATTATTACAAAGAACTTTATAATAACAAGCTTTTAAATGCTTTGAAAATAAAAAAATATAACTAACGTGGATTTATAGACAATCACGATCCGACATGTATGAAATAACAGGACCGCATAATTTGCTTTCGTTAATAAAAGCTTTGGTCGTTAAAATATTTAATAGATCTCACTTTCTTTAATAAAATCTTTCGCTAAAATTTGTAAGCGATCTCACGAGCTACCAAATATTTTATAAAGAAAGCAAATTTAAAATTATAATCGCATTTTAAAGCTTGTCATTAAGTTTTTAAATAATTGTTTTATTAATGGTTTTCTTTGTACCAGCGTAAGTAGGTCTGGGTGGGAACATACTCAAGTGGATTTTAAAAGCGGAAATAAATTAAATTAATAGCACGACGTAGACCTTGTAGTTTCTGGTAAAGCATTTATTTTAAGAATCAACTAAGGCGTGTTGTAAGTAACTACAAATTACACTACAAAACACTGCATGATAGCACGTAGTAAACCACAAAGCACGCATTATCTTTTCAGATATTTAAAAATAAAGATGTGTTGTTATAGATATGATGAAGATTTCACAATAGAACACTTGTTTTCTTAACACAAGTATAAAGACTTTCATAAAGCTAAGTTAACATTGAGAGTAAAGTGTCAGTCTAGCAGAAAACTGATGGATACACACTGGATGAGTGGATTATTTGTGGATATACACTCGGAGTCTAATAATACACAAGGCAGTGATCAAATCATGAAAGATATAAAGTGACGCTGGAATATGTATTGGATCAAATTATCAAAGATATAAAGTGACGCCTGAAATAAATTCAAAAGGTAAATGTTTGAACACTGTTTTTTTTTTAAATTTTGCTTTTCAAAATTCGATCTTTCAGCTGGATATAAGAACAGTATTTTCAGTATACATTGACAAGAAAGAACAGGTAAGAGGGTCACTTCTTACCCACCCTACGTGCCCGACACCCGACCTTGACATTGGTACTACTGACCATGACTTGCCCATCTCTTTTCTTCTCTCATACAATATAGTAAAATAAGATACAACATGATAAAATATGATAAAACATGATACAACATAATAAAATATTATAAAACAGGATATTCATTTGTTACAACAGGAAACGATGCGATACTCTGATACACTATGATACAATAAAATACATCATACAACATGATATAACTGGTATTATATAGAAGGATACATAACTACCCCTTGTTTAGGCTCCTTACTGTACATGGTCTCAGCTATTTTGCAGATGGTACTCCCGACGCCAACAGATGTTTTAGTCTCTGTCCTCACCTGCTATCTCCTGTCTGTGGCTATTGCAGGGCAACTATCAGGTACATTTTAGGAACTTTTTACAGTGGTAACAGTTAACGATTAGATAGTTAATCTATAGAGGTATTGTCGATTGTGGTGTTGCCAATAGTGGTATTTCCAATGGTGGTATTTCCAATGGTGGTATTTTCAATGGTATTGCACATTGTGGTATTGCCTATGGTAGTATTGCAGATGACGTATTACCTATGGTGGTATTGCCTATGGTGGTATTTCCAATGGTAGTATTGCCTATGGTGGTATTGCCTATGGTGGTATTTAGAATGGTGTTATTTCCAATGGTATTACCGATAGTGGTATTTCCAATGGTGGTATTTCCAATGGTGGTATTGTCAATGGTAGTGTTGCATATGGTTGTATTGCCTATGATAGTATTGCAGATGATGTATTGCCAATGGTAGTATTGACAACGGTGGTATTGCCAATGGTGGTATTATATCTATATAAAAATGTTTTTGTAATACCGGTTGTTGTGATTACACCAATAACTTTAGAAAGATACCTAAGATTTGATTTAAATATAAACTAAAATCTTCCAAAGCAAAAGTCTTCAAGGGGACAGAGTGGTATAGCGGTAGAGAGCTGGACTTCTAACCGTATGTCTCGAGTTCGAATCCGAGTTTAAGTCAGTAGACCGTCCCTGAGTCCACCCAACTCAGATGGGTACTAACTCACGTTAGGGAAAGTAAAGGTGGCGGGGCATAGTGCTGACCACACTATATCTTCATATGCCGAGGTCACAGAAACAAGTGAACTCTACTTCATTTTCCCTATATGCCGTCAGGTTTGCAAAGGGAACTTTACTTTTTTTAAAAGTCTTCAAAGTACTTGAAACTTTAAAACTAGTTTAACAAAGTCTGTAAAACAAAATACCATTGAATAAGACATGTTCGTAACTTGAAGCATGCGAACATAGAAACAAATTGATTAAGCTAAAGTTGATCCTTGAAATTTTGCCTGACCGTTCACTGTGTCATGTCAGGTGTGTGTCAGTACGGCTGGTTCGGTCAGGCGTGTCAGTACAAATGTCACTGTCAAAAAGACGAATGTCACAACGGCTACTGCCCTCTGGGCTGTGGGAAGGGATGGTTCGGTCCGCAATGTCAGTTTGGTAAGTTGACCATTTGTTGAGGCCCACAATGTCAGTTTAATAAGTTGACCAGATGTGTAGTTACATTATATCAGATGTAATTACATTACATCAGACGTAGTTAGATTATACCAAATGTAATTAGATTATACCAGATGTAATTAAATTATACCAGATGTGGTTAGATTACACCAGATGTAATTACACGATACCAAACTTTCTACTTCGGTTTGTTAATCGAATATGTAAAGTACCGCTAACTGGTCATGTGACCAATATTTTTCAACAACAGCTGACTTGCTCCAGACAGCAACTGACCAGTACTGGGCCACTGACAGATGTCCTGTAGATAAACTTTTTGAAAATGTCAGCATTCGATGGAATAGGACGCAAACATTCTCGTGGTTAAGGTTAATGTTTAGGTTCAAAGGTAACGTATTAAAATAATTTGCTCTATCTGGTAGTTGTGTTTTTTTACTAAAAAAGTTCAACTTTGCGATGTGCTTTAGAGTGTAAATTTAACACGCATCATTAGCTACATTTATAGAAACTTAATCATATCTTACTTAAGTAACATTTGTTATAGTTCAGTCAATATTTGTGTAAATTACTGCCAGTCTTTAAGCATGAGGACTACTATACATTACCTGGGCATGTTTTGTCTAGAACCTTCTAATCATCTTGAAGTTCCAGATTCAATTGGCGATTTGCAGATCGTTTTCAATCAGACATCGAACAGTGCCACCGGCTGCCAGGATAAGAAGATGTCAAAAGTGAATGACAGGACGATTGACATCTACTGTGACATCAGCATTGTTGATGACATTGTTGTATCAGGGGAGGGGCTGGAGGATCTGTGTAGAGTTTACATAAGTGGAGGTACCAATGATCATTTGCTGCTCAAGCCTTTATAACAACATATGTTGTTAAATGAAAGCTCTTTTTAAATAGTTAAAAAAAAATTAACTTAAAAAAAATAGTGTTTTTACTTTTTTAAGATTTAAAAAAACTTTTTCAATTTAACCATCTTTATTGTTATTCCCACTAAACAATCCTCTAAATTTTCTTTTAAAACTAATGTTTTCTTACTGGGGCAATCATGATTGATAAAATTCAAAGTCCTGAGTTCGAACCTCGGGTAGACGATGGTTGATTGCTGTTGACAGGAACCCATCTAGGGGAGAAACTAAAAATGTCAATTAACTAATGCCCGATTGTTAGTTGTTCCATGGACAAAAACTACTGAAGCATTGCAAAAATTAAGCATTACTTAATGTGCTTTTATCTCGGCCGTTTTATTGTCGGCTCGAAATTATGGGATAGCAAGATCGAAGATGATTCACGTGACGATAAGTAATTTTCGATAAAACCTTTAGGTTGTCCAAGTAGTATCCCACTCACATAATTTGAAACCTTTGACTTAAGTACGTCTTCAGTCATACGAAAAGTAGACTCAATAACTTTTTAAATAAATCAGTTTAACTTTTTTTACTTTCTCGTATATACGAAGTATAGAGAAAGTATTGTATTAGTGCACAAAAATCACTTGAAATTTTAACAATTTTCACCGTATTACACCTCAGTCCTTCATCACATCCGAAGTATAGAGGACTTATTTTAATCGGGCAAAAATTATCAATCCAGATTTATCAAAATTAAGAGGTTTTATGCGTAATCCAGTCTGAAAAACTGGGCTTTGCAATTCTGTCCGTATGTCTGTGTGTCTGTTTGTCTGTGTGTGTCTGTGTGTAAACACGATTACTTGAGTACCGTTACAGCTAGGTTGATGAAATTTCATATATAAGTATTTTATCAAAATCGTAGATCCGTATCAACATTTGAGCGATTTCCGATAACCGGAAGTGGTACTTTTTCTACTTTGAATTTTTCAAAAGCCTATAACTCGAGTACTATTTCAGATAGATAAATGAAATTTCACATGTAAGTATAAGATCTAATTCTCTACTTTCTGGTAAATTTTGAGTAATTTCCGTTGACCGGAAGTAGTAATTTACGCTACTTCCGATTTCTCAAAAAACGAATGTAAATTTTTAAAGTACTAATAATATTGCGCACTATTATGCACCTTTTTTATTTGGCGTAAGATGAATAACTGCAGGCACAATTTTGGTGTAGCATTCACCATTCATACCCAAACGTAAAATTGATTGACTTTTCTAGAATAGATTTTCAACACTATTCTCCGATTGAAAACAAAATTAAGAAATTAATTGAATGTTGATAATAACATAGGGTGGCGTTAACAAAACCTTAACAGGGAGTGTTTGGTAAATAGCATGCAATTTTACTCATTGTATTAAAACATTTATCAAGAGTAGTTCATAAGTAAGTCTCCTAGAACATCTTATTTTAGTGCTTATTAATTTCCATACTAATATCGGCTTTTTAATTCTATGGGGGTCGCGGGTCACTGGCCTAGTTCATAAGTAAGTCTCCTAGAACATCTTATTTTAGTGCTTATTAATTTCCATACTAATATCGGCTTTTTAATTCTATGGGGGTCGCGGGTCACTAACATTTTATAAAAGGGGATCGCCACTCGAAAAAGTTTAGGAACCACTGCTTTAGAAGGCACATGTAGATAAGTTACCTTTGTGACTAGACTTTAGGACGTACCCGCCAATTCACCAGGCCGAAATCTGGCGCTCAGGCAGATGACGTCACAGATATCCAACTACACTAGTCCAGTTCACACATCTGTGGCCGCCAACTCCGTAGACGGCAACCTAGCGAATAGCTTCTTCTCCAACAGCTGCAGCCATACCATGGAGAATACATGGAACCCCTGGTGGAGGGTGGAGTTTCCCCACCCCGGGGTGGTGACCCGGGTAGTGGTGTACAACAGGGATGGTGAGTTGTTTTTTTTAACTTTTTGGTGGTGAGATAGGGATAGTTTTTTTAATTTGTGGTGGTAGGCGATAGGGATAGTGGTTGTTTTTTTTTTAAGTTTGTGGTTGTAGGTGATAGGGACGGTGAATTGAGGAAAAACATATTACTTAAGTTACTAACTTATTGATTTTATTAGGTTTAACTTGAATGCAAATTTAAAAACAGTGTACACGGATTCTATTTTAGTAATGTAAGTGGATTTAGAAACGCTGGAACATATGGGGGTGGTAGGATTGGGGTTGTACACTTGTGAGGATTGTATGATTGTGGCTGTAAAGTGTGATGATTGTATGATTGTTGCTACAGAGTGATAGGCCTGTATGCTTGGTGTTGAAGCGTGGATCTGGATCCGGTGAATTTATAACTTACTACATTCTGTAGTACACTCGACATTACATCTGTATCCCCCCCCCCTCCAGAGTACCCGGAGCGGCTAGATAATTTTGCGCTATCGATGTTTACCAAAGAGAATCAGGCGATATTTAACTACACAGAGACTAGACAAGGATCTGCACCATCCTACACTGTATTGACCCCCGGGATTAAACCCGTATCGTCCGCTAAAATCACAGCCGCTGGGAACATTTTAACACTGTGTGAGGTCGAGATTTTTGGAGGTTTGTGGATTAGTCTCAGCAAGCTAATTAATTGTTAAACTTTCGCTTTTTTAATTAAAAAAATAGGTAAAAACAACATTAAAAAATAAAAACTACAAAACAATGGTAAAATAAAATCTTTATCATTTTCTATCTTAGTTTCATTTTCTAATCTGGCTAAAATTTCAGTTAATAACATCATTACTTTAATTTACATTAAAACAAAATACATTACTGTACATTAAAACCACATACATTAATGCACATTAAAACATTTATGTTAAACAAAATACATTAGAGTAAAACAACATACATTAATATACATTAAAACAAAATACATTAATGTAAAACAAAATTCATTACTTACATTTAAACAAATTAATGAGAGTTGTAACTATTAAAACCTAGCTACACATGAGTGCATAATTTCATTATATACAGTATTGCATATAAACTTCTTTGGAACTCGAGGTCCATGATGGAGTACAGTTCATATTTTTCTTGACCCCAGCATATATTAAAGGGAAATGTGATCAGCACTTCGCAAAGCGCATTTCCTTCTCCTAGCACAACTTAGGTACCCATTAGAACTGGGTGGACTCAGGGACGTTCTACTGAATTGGACCCGGATTTGAACTCGAGACTTTCGTGATACGAGACTAGCGTTCTACCGCTTAGACCACGCAGTCCCATAATTCCAATTCCAGTCAAATATTTACAACCATTTGTACCAGATTCAGTGTGTCGCCATGGACGGTTTGGTCGAGACTGTGAACACACCTGCAACTGTGCCAACCAATCAGAAACCTGCTTTGTCAGTACCGGCGGATGTCTTTCTGGTTGTGCGGATGGGTTTGTGGGTGAGAGGTGTGACGTAGGTGAGTGACGTCATGTCAGTAGAGTGCCCTACCTGTACGGCCTAACATTTTTTTATCACGTTCCTAAAAATTAATTTGTGAAACGTTATACTGCAGTTAAAATAAAGACTCAAAATACATGTATTGATTGGGCTTTTGTTTGGCTATTATTTCATGAAATACGTTGAAACCCATGTATTCAAGACAAAATACCATGAGGCATATAATGTGTCATAAAATGTTACCTGAAAATTAGACTTTATCGGGAATGACTACTTGAATAGTTTGCCTGTTTTCAACACCAACTTACCTACCGTCAATAATGAGTAGTTTGACTGTTTTCAACACCAACTTACCTACCCTCAATATTTTAATTTCAGCTATACCAATCCAACTGATACATCTCATTGTGATAGTTGGTATTTCCACATGTGGCCTAATCCTAACCATAACGGCCATAATCTTAATCCACTGGTAATTATACATCTCTTTCTATAATCTCTAACACGACAAATACAAACCCTAAATAACCGCCAGTTTCAACACATTTTATATTGATTTAAGAGAATGTCTTGTACGCTAGGCGGTGCAGGAGAATGAGACAGATGAAGAAAGACAAGTCTCTACTACAGGACATTGAACTCACTGATCTCAATGTCTCCATGAGACACACGACGAAACGTGTTCGAGGTAAACTTTTGATGCACAATGTCATAGGTAAAATTTTGTTACACATTGTCACAGGTGAAATTTTGTTACACATTGTCACAGGTAAACTTTTGTTACACATTGTCACAGGCTAACTTTTGTTACTTACTGTCACAGGTAAACTTTTGTTACACATTGTCACAGGCTAACTTTTGTTACTTACTGTCACAGGTAAAATTTTGTTACACATTGTCACATGTAAACATTTGTTACAAATTGTCACAGGTAAGCTTTTGTTACACATTGTCACAGGTTAACTGTTGTTACACAATGTCACATGTAAACTTTTGTTACAAAATGTCACATGTAAACTTTTGTTACAAAATGTCACAGGTAAACTTTTGTTACACATTGTCACAGGTAAGCTTTTGTTACACATTGTCACAGGTTAACTGTTGTTACACAATGTCACATGTAAACTTTTGTTACAAAATGTCACAGGTAAACTTTTGTTACACTTTGTCACAAGTAAACATTTGTTACAGAGGTAGTTAGGTGGTAAACTTTGTAACAGAAGTTAGTGATAAATATCGTCAGATTTTATTGTTAAATATTGTCACAGTAGTTGGTGGTAAAATGAGTACCAAAAGTTGTAGGTAAACTTGACAACACTCTAGCTTAGTTTAATTGATACTCGAATAAATGAGAACCAGCACAGCTAAGCTTCTAACATCCGTCTTCGCACACACACACACACACATACACACACATACATGACAAAGATATGAGTTTCACATATTGCATTGAACCTGGGGGTAGGCCAATATTAAACCCAGCCTTATTTTCTGAAACTACAGCTTTGAACACAAGAGTATGGTTATACAAATGTGAATAAAGTTAACTTTATAATACAGAGTATGGCAAATGTAGGACTATATCTATTCACACAAAAATATTAAATTAACTTTTATAATGGATTGTAAAGAATTTTTTTCCCAACTTCAGTGTTGCCGGAAAGACCGCCTGAAGATTCCAGCCAAAGTACCGTGGACCACGCCATCACCACCACACAGTTTGGTGCTACAGCAATACACAAGGACAGCTTCAACAGCTACATGCTGACTCACAATAAGGACTTTTTGGTCACACAATTTGAGGTAATGTCGTCTTTCTCACGATTTGAGGTTATGTCGTCTTTCTCACAATTTGAGGTTATGTCGTCTTTATCACAATTTGAGGTAATGTCATCTTTATCACAATTTGAGGTAATGTCGTCTTTCTAACAATTTGAGGTAATGTCGCCTTTCTCACAATTTAAGGTAATGTCTTCATTATCATAATTTAAGGTAATGTCGTCTTTCTCACAATTTGAGGTAATGTCGTCTTTTTCACGATTTGAGGTAATGTCGTCTTTCTCACAATTTGAGGTAATTTATTTCCCCACAATGTGAAATAGTTTTAAAACAACCACCGTCGAACATGTGTTGGATTTAAAATTTTTCAAATTGACACTTCGTCTTATGACCTAATGTTCAAAGCACAATAGAAAGCCTGAAAAAAAACAACTAGCCACACTACTACGCCCCAAGTGGTTTCGAACCCCGACCTTGTTTGTTCCAGAACATCCCACAGAACGTGACGGCCACGACAAATGTTGGACTGAGCAGTGAGAACAGGAGCAAGAACTTCACGCGAAACATCTGTGCTTGTGAGTACTGTCATTAGATGACATGTTGACATTTCTTTAGATGACATCTGGACATTAATTTCTTTACATGACATGTTGACATTTCTTTAGATGACATGTTGACATTATCATAGGTAATTCTTGTAGAAGAGATCTTGACATTGCAATTGAGACAGTTACATAGTAAAAGAAAAATTCAACTAGGAACATTTACAATAGAAGAAATGTTCAGGGTTGCATACGAGAGCACATGACAAATACTTCATTGAACTAAACACAAGTTCAGATAATCAATTAAATCAATCAAATCAATTAAATCAATTAAATCAATTAAATCAATTAAATCAATTAAATCAATCAAATCATTCAAATCCTGTCCATTACAGACGACCACTCCCGTGTAAAACTCAAGACAAAAAATGACAAGAAAAAATCTGATTACATTAACGCTTCTTACATACAGGTAAGTGGTTTTTCATATAAAAATCTAGGATTAGTAATTTAATTATCTTAAATATACAATTATGTCCAGATAATATTTCCATTTTGCAACACCGGATCATTAAATACACGAACAAATTTTCTGCGTTAGAAACATATTAGCGAATTACATGAAATCTACTTTTTTAGCAAGGTTAAATAAAAATAAAAATTAAATTGTAAAAAGCAAATTTCATTTTTTTACTTTTTGATGTACATGTTAATAGTGTATTTAAGAAAAAAAAAAGACTGATAAGACAAATTTAATTTAACCATTAAAAATAATATTTTCATAGACTCTGATAATTTTAATTACACTACAATTTATCAACAGTAAAATTAAATTTAGCTCAAATAAATCGTTAGAAGAAAGAATTAATAATAAAAATTGTTGTTTTGAAATTAAAATTTTACACTTAAATTGAAAGAATTATTTTAAATTTATTGTCGTACGGTATTAAATTCCTGTTTAAATTTAAAACAAAATATATGGTCAAAGGGGGACAAACATTAAATTGTCTCAGGTCATGGTTACTATGCTTTAAATATTTTGAATCATGGTTATCCATCTTCAAATTTTAAAACAGAAAATATACGGTCAAAGGGGGACAACCATGAAATTGTCTCATAAAATAGTTTAGTCGTGGTTACTTCGCTTAAACATTTTGATTTGTATTTCGGGGAGGGGGGGGGGGGGAGAGTTATTTATAGAATTAAGCACAATACTCAATGAATATCACATAATTAGATTTAGATAATCTCATTTTACTCTTAACAACTTTTACTCTTAACACTCAGAGAGTGCTAAACCTAAATAATAATTAACCTTTAATGTTAAACAAAAAATAGTACAGAAAATTTAATTTTTTAAAGACATTACAGACTGATCGAAAATAATTATTAACGTCAGAAATATTTATGTTGGCTGTTGGGGGCGACGGTCCATTAAAAAAAATTTAAAACCACCTTAGAATCTTTTTACTCAATCCTTATTTTAAGGCCTCACAATTTTAAAAAATGCTTATGGTTAACAATAAGATAAATCTAAATTCTGCTTTATGTTGACTATAAATAGTTAGTTTTTTCTTCAAGAAAAATTTATCAGTTTTGATATTTGTTTTGATATTCATAAAAAAAACTTTAATGAGCGAGATAACCTAGGTTTTCCTGCGGTGGAAATTAATTTCATGTTTGTTCCCCTTTGACCACAAAATTGTGTTTTATTTCTTTTTTCCGCAACGAAGATAATACAATAAAAACATGATTATTTATGAGAGCAAAACAGCATCTTTCAGGTTTTGACATTTGTTTTGATATTCATATGAAAAAAAATCTTTAATAAGCGAGATAACCTCGGCTTTCCTGCTATTGAAAATAATTTCCTGTTTGTTCCCCTTTGACCAATCATATGAAAACAAAAATCTTTAATAAGCGAGATAACCTCGGCATTCTTGCGATTAAAAATAATTTCATATTTGTTCCCCTTTGACCACAAAATAGTGTTTTATTTCTTTTTCCGCAAAGATGATAATACAATAAAAACATGATTATTTATGTGAGCAAAACAGCATCTTTCAGGTTTTGATATTTGTTTTGATATTCATATGACATAAAAAAAAAATCTGCAATAAGCGAGATAACCTCGGCTTTCCTGTGATTGAAAATAATTCCATGTTTGTTCCCCTTTGACCACACAATTGTGTTTTATTTCTTTTCCGCAAAGACGATATAATACAATAAAAATACGATACAACAAAAACATGAATATTTATGTGAGCAAAACAGCATCTTTCAGGTTTTGATATTTGTTTTGATATTCATATGACAAAAAAAAATCTTCAATAAGCGAGATAACCTCGGCGTTCCTGCGATGGAAAATAATTTCATGTTTGTTCCCCTTTGACCACAAAATTGTGTTTTATTTCTTGTTCCGCAGAGACGATAAAAACATGATTATTTATGTGAACAAAGCAAAACTTGTGTTTTATTTCTTTTCCGCAAGGACGATATAATACAATAAAAATACGATACAACAAAAACATGAATATTTGTGTGAGCAAAACAGCATCTTTCAGGTTTTGATATTTGTTTTGATATTCATATGACAAAGAAAAAAAAATCTGTAATAACCGAGATAATCTCGGCTTTCCTGTGATGGAAAATAATTTCATGCTTGTTTCCCTTTGACCACAAAATTGTGTTATTTCTTTTTTTCGCAGAGACTATAAACATGATTATTTATCTTACCAAAACAGCATCCGCCAGGCTAATTTAAAAAATTAAAGAAATAAGAATGTATGAAAATCTAGAATGTACATTAATCACAATTTGCATATGTGAGCTTGAACACTTCTCCAGGTGTTTGGGGGTTTCGCAATTTAATGAAACGTCGTTTTTGTAATATATTTGCCATCTCCTTTTTTTAAAAATGTATTATTGATCTCAATTTTTTAGAAACTATAATTGTGAGCATGAAATACATTTTGATAGGTAATTAATTAAATTAAATAACAGTTCTAAATATATATTATTATTACTTTATTAGGGGGTCATCCATAAATGAAGCACTGATTTTAATGACGTGTCAACATTATTTTTTTGGCTGATTATTTTTTTAGTACTATATTATATCCCTACATTTTTTTAATTCTATATCCTCTTATAATTTTGTAGTCTGATTTACTTTTCAGGCCTCCTCAAATAAAATAGCTTACATCGCTTCACAAGGTAAAAGATTTTAGACTGCTTTCCCCGTTACTGTTTGTTTTGTTTGGTTATACATTGATTGAACTGTGTTTGGAATACATAGAAGAGTTGTTTCCCCTTCCAGCCCCCACCAAAACCAGCGTCATAGAGTTTGTACGGATGTTGTGGGAGCAGAAGGTGGAGAAGGTTGTCATGTTGGTCTCTGAGCATCACGTGAGTACTGGGTGACGTCATTCATGTAAACATTGTATACGTTCTGATAGACACTGAGACAAAACTGCTATTGTTTTAGTTGTCAGTTTATTCAGTGATTTGATAAACTTTTTAAACTTTCGTTAATAAACTTATGCGCAAACCTATAAAACATCGAAAGGATCGTAAACAGCTATCGCTAGAAGAATCATGTTTCAAATATTTTTCTTCTTAGAAATTTTATTATGCTAAGGAAAAATTCATAATTTATATTTTAACTTTTAAAATACATTATGGTTAAAAAATCGAAATTTAACAAAAAACTTGCAAAACATTAGTTTACGAGTTAGTGATGCTGTATTGAATGGTATGACGTCATGCTAATTACCTGTGATGACCTCAGGAAAAATTAGAGAAGTACTGGCGTGATGACGGGGACATTGTGTTTGGTGACGTCAGAGTCAGGCTAGCCAGTAGCCAGGTCTTTGCTGACTTTACTGTCCGTAGGCTGGAGCTTAATAAGGTAGGCAATGGAGTTTAATGGGAGCTTAATAAGGTAGGCAATGGAGTTTAGTGGGAGTTTAATAAGGTAGGCAATGGAGTTTAGTTGGAGCTTAATAAGGTAGGCAGTGGAGCTTAGTGGGAGCTTAATTAAGGTAGGCAATGGAGTTTAGTGTGAGCATAACAAGGTAGGAAATGGACCTTAGTCGGAGCTTAATAAGGTAGGCAATGGATTTTACTGGGAGCTTTATAAGGTAGGCCATGGAGTTTAGTGGGAGCTTAATAAGGTAGGCAATGGAGTTTAGTGGGAGCTTAATAAGGTAGGTAAGGGAGTTTATTGGGAGCTTAAATAGGTTGACGCTGGAGTTTATTGAGAGCTTAACAAGGTAGGTTATGTAATTTATAGGAAGCTTAACAATGTAGGTAATGGACTACATGGAGCTTAGCAGCATAGGCTATTAGTTTTATTAGGAGCTTTACAAGGTTTGCGTTGACGTATATTGGGAGTTTAATTAAAGGTGGAGGAAATTGAAAATGGAGTTTACTGTGGGTTAAACAACGTTGGCGATACATTTCTTGTGGGAGCTTAATGAAAATATTATTCGTTTCACGAGGACCTTCGTGTGTTAATATTTAAGTATGTTTTTCAATGTCCGGCTAAAACCAACAAATATTTTAAACTAAAGCTAATACAACACATCTCACTAATTCTAAACATGTGTAACACGCTTTCGTCTATGTGGTAGAGAGAGAAGCCGCTTCACACTGTCCTACAATATCACTACACCGCCTGGCCGGATAAGGAAGTCCCGCCATCTTTGTGGAGTCTGGTCGATTTCCAGCAGAGAGTGACGTCATATCCGTCATGTAGGCCTACCCTAGTTCACTGCGGGTGAGTAGAGGTGCCAGAATCCCAAACTATAGCGGAAGTGGGTTATGGCTTCTGAAGCAGTATTTGGGGTGGTGTTGGAAGAGGTGTTTAATTTGAAGTGGGTAGGGCGAATACTCGAGGTTTTTTTTTTCTCTTTTTTTAAAAATAAGCAATAGGCCTACCTCTCTTAACTTGTTTTTAAAATATGTATTTTCATTCAAAAAGAAATACATTTATTTTATTTAGTGGGGGCGTGGCCAACACAGGCACGTTTATCGCCCTTGAACTGATCCTACACGACATTAAGTCCACTGGCTACATGGACTTCTTCAACACAATATGGCGGCTACGTCAGGACCGGATGCACATGGTACACACCGCGGTGAGTCTATAACGACAGATCTGATTGGATGAATTCCCTTAATATATGGGATTAATTAATTAACAGATAAACACACTAAACCTTACAGATAAACACACTAACCCTAACAGATAAACACACTAACCCTAACAGGTAAACACACTAACCCTAACAGATAAACACACTAACCCTAACAGATAAACACACTAACCCTAACAGATAAACACACTAACCCTATAAGATAAACACACTAACCCTAACAGGTAAACACACTAACCTTAACAGATAAACACACTAACCCTAACAGATAAACACACTAACCCTAACATATAAACACACTAACCCTAACAGATAAACACACTAACCCTAACATATAAACACACTAACCCTAACAGATAAACACACTAACCCTAACAGATACACACACTAACCCTAACCCCACTTACCACAGGAGCAGTACATCTTCCTCCATAAGGTGGTACAGGTCGCCGTGTTGTGTGCCGGTACAAATGTCCAGACAGAAGATGTCCAGGACAGGACATCAAGGCTGGACATGAGGACATTCTCCGGATTGACCTACGCCGAGAAGGAGTTTACGGTAAACATTCCAATTTCAAGACGCACACACAAAGCCTTTTTCTTGAAAATAATTTCACGTATAAAAGTTCAGTTCCCTTCTCAGATAAGACATTCAAAATGGCAGGGTGAGTTCATCTGTTTTTCTGTGCACGGCGGCGCATGAAAGTATAGTGTGGGTAGAAGCATGTCTTGCTGTCTTTATTTTTCCAGAGTTAAGGCCCATTATTTTATTACTTGCAGCACAGTGTCTTCTAGAAACCATTTTATTTCGGGGTCACAGGGTTAGGTAACCTTTCATTTTAGGCCCCACAAATATCTGGGTATACGATATATAACAAAGTTGTTCCATCTGTTATTAACTTTAATCACACGTTTTGAAAAATTATTGAAGTGATGCCATTGTTCAATGTTTTTGTTTACTATGGTAAAGAATTTTGTCTTACAATGTATTTTGTTCCACAGGCGGTGTGTAACTGTATCATAGACGGCAGCAACTACTTGAAAGGCAACAGAAAAAGTCGGGTCAGCCGTTACCTGCATCAGCTGGTGGATGAAACCAGTTTACACGGCAGGTCTTACACTCAGGCACCAGGTAACCAGTTTACACGGCAGGTCTTACACTCAAGGTAACCAGTTTACACGGCAGGTCTTACACTCAGGCATCAGGTAACCAGTTTACACGGCAGGTCTTACACTCAGGCATCAGGTAACCAGTTTACATGGCAGGTTTTACACTCAGGCATCAAGTAATTTAGTTTACACTAAGACATCAGGTAATCAGTTTACACTCAGGCACCAGGTAATCCACCTACAGAATCTGTAAATGTAAAGTAATATACTCACAGATTCTGTAAGTGTAAGCTAAAATACCCACACCTGTAAGTGTAAGATAATCTTCCTACATAATCTGAGTACTACATTTAGCTATGTAGTCGGCAGGGCTTAACTCGACTATAATGTAGATATTTACTCTGTATTAAACCAACAACAGTGCAGATATTTACTGTGTATTAAACAAAGCCATCAATATGTCGCTATTTTAACACCTCAAAAACTGGCACAGTTGCTACACATTTGGTATATTCACTAATGTTTTAGGGGTCGGCGTGGTCGAGTCGGTAAACCAAAATGACTCGAGTTCGAACCCTCAGGCAGATGAGGCTCGTTAGCTGGGGACAGCCACTCTTCTAGGAGAGACAACTCCAAAATTAAAACAACTGCTGCCTTGTAGTTTGTTCTTGGTTGGACAAAGGCTATGGAAGCAAATCCAAAAAGAAAAGCAGGCTGAAATCGGAGTCAATGGCCTCAATGGCGCATAACCAGTTGACACGTAACGCTTAATTGTGTTGGAGGTGTGGTCGAGTCGGCAAAAAGCTCATGGTTGATAAATTCGAACAAAGTCTCGAGTTCAAACCCACTGGCAGATAAATCTCGATCCCCTTCAACACTAATAATTAAGAACGAAGAAGAAGAAAGAAGACTAATGTTTTTCTCAAGTATGAGGTTTTTCTTTTTTTCTTTTTTTTTTTTTTGGAAAATGGCAGCTCTGTATTGTAGTTTTTTTATTTTTGTTTTTAATTTTAAATTTTGACAAGAATTGACGTCGGTGCTTTCAAATACTTTTCGTCGATTCGAAACAAATCTTACAAATGTAATATAATTACTGTCTGGTATTCTTGAAGAGTTTTACTGTAAAACTATTGTTTTGTTTATGTGTCAGGTTGTTTTTAACATCTGCCAAATTGTTTTACCGTAAAACTTTAATGTTTTGTATATCTACCAAGTTGTTTCACCTTAAAACTTCGATGTTTTGTATATCTGTCAAGTTGTTTCACTTTAAAACTTCGATGTTTTGTATATCTGCCAAGTTGTTTCACCTTAAAACTTCGATGTTTTGTATATCTGTCAAGTTGTTTCACTTTAAAACTTCGATGTTTTGTATATCTGCCAAGTTGTTTCACCTTAAAACTTCGATGTTTTGTATATCTGTCAAGTTGTTTCACTTTAAAACTTCGATGTTTTGTATATCTGCCAAGTTGTTTCACCTTAAAACTTCGATGTTTTGTATATCTGTCAAGTTGTTTCACTTTAAAACTTCGATGTTTTGTATATCTACCAAGTTGTTTCACCTTAAAACTTCGATGTTTTGTATATCTGTCAAGTTGTTTCACTTTAAAACTTCGATGTTTTGTATATCTGCCAAGTTGTTTCACCTTAAAACTTCGATGTTTTGTATATCTGTCAAGTTGTTTCACTTTAAAACTTCGATGTTTTGTATATCTGCCAAGTTGTTTCACCTTAAAACTTCGATGTTTTGTATATCTAGCAGGTTGTACGCGATCCAAAGTATCTTGGAGCGGTAGAAAAAGTGGAGGTAACTGCAACATCATTCTACTTTCGGTAAGTGCGGCGTTAGAGTTTAATGGGGGTTTTGTGGTAAAGGGGAGTGGTATTTTTAAAGTGGTTTGTAATGGCGACAGTTTTGTAATGATTGGGTTTGTGTTTAAATTATAGTGATAGTATTGTAGTGATTAGATTTTTGTTTAAATTATGGTGACAGTATTGTAATGATTAGATTTGTGTTTAAATTATGGAGACAGTTTTGTAATGATTAGATTTGTGTTTAAATTATGGCGACAGTATTATATTTGTGTTTAAATTTTGCTATTGTATTTTTGCCTAAAGAGCTTAACCAGGCCGAATCAGCATATGTTAACACCTTTACCTGTGGACACACCTGTGACAAACTTCTGGACACTGGTGCTACAGCACCGGGTTACGGTCATCATAGCGTTCGAACCTCGAGACTCGGACAAACAGGTGACGTCACACTCTTGTAACTATGGAAACACAATGTCGTCTGGGAAATTACATTGTAAAATACTTATATTTGATTGACTGTGTTAATTAGGTGGTCAGTCACTATCTGCCGGCCAGCAAGAACGAGGTCATCCACTGCGACCAAATGGACGTGGAGGCAGGAACGATAACCACAGGTCCCTACTGGCAGGAACACAAACTGACCATCATATTACGTCACAAGAAAAAAACAAAGGTCTGATCACTATGTCCATGTTATATTCTATGCACTAATACATCCTTTAGATTTTAAGTATTGTGTTAAAATTAAAAGTCTTGAAAACGAAGTAAAGCCAAAGGAGATTTATCTTGAAAGATCTGAACTAAACACCACAAACAATCACATTACGTAATAAATAGAAAGTAAAAGGTCTAATCTTTGTGTTTATATGGTTTTATATCTATCAAACATTCTTATATTTTCAAATAACGTGTTAGTAATACATAAGCAAATCGCTAAATAATTTTAACACTACTGTTTTAATAAACTGTTCCCAGGCGTATGACAAGTACCACGTGACCCACTACAAATACACAGACGACATCTTCAACCCTGAGAGTGTTCTGGCATTCATTCAACGCGTGAGACTGGGTTCGGATCAACATGAGAAGATCATGTTCACTTGTCTGTGAGTCCATATCGTCCGTTTAGCGTGGTTTAGCGTGGTTTAACGTTAGTTTTATTTTAAGGGTAAGGTGTCAATGACCATCACTGCATGTCAATAGGTGTGGACTGGCTGTGCCCAAGAGGCCCAGGGAAGTTTGTTTAAGGTGCCCCCAACCCCAGATTGAAATTTTCATTGTGCATTTTTTTTTCTCCACCCAAGCCTAAATGTTACGCCTTACAAGCGATTAAAAACAATTCAAAAATTTAATAGAACTATTACAGCACCTTTACTGTTGGCTCACCGAGATTTTTTCCTGGAAGAAAGGCGGCAAGTCCAGAGCTAAATAGCAAATACATATTTAATCATTGCGCCCCCCTTATATGAGTAACTCTTCACTACAGGAAAGCGAAAATGCATCATACTATTTCAAATTTCAAATTTTCATAAGGTTATACATGGAATCTCCATTTATATTCCATTATAGATAGATATTATATCATGATACAAAAAATATCCAACAGGGGGTGTGGCGCCCCTCTGACACTCTCCCTAGCTGCGCCACTGATTAACATTCACACGTTAAGCTTATCCCCCTCTGTAGACATCATAGTCTGATCGGTTACTTGAATGTTTCACTCTGTAGACATCAGAGTCTGATCAGGTACTTCAATGTTTCCCTCTGTAGACATCATAGTCTGATCAGGTACTTCAATGTTTCCCTCTGTAGACATCATAGTCTGATCAGGTACTTCAATGTTTCCCTCTGTAGACATCATAGTCTGATCAGGTACTTGAATGTTTCCCTCTGTGACTTCCAGGAGTGGAGCAGAAGAGAGCGGCCTGTTGTATGTGCTGACCTCCTTACTGGACCGGCTGGACAACGACAACTGTATCAACATCCCCCTGCTGGTTGGTGCCGTCAAGTCGTCTCATCTACAGGTCATTCCCACGCTGGTAAGGTCTTTATCTAGGTCAGCAGGTCATATTCCCACGCTGGTAAGGTCTTTCTCTAGGTCAACAGGTCATATTCCCACGCTGGTAAGGTCTTTCTCTAGGTCAGTAGGTCATTCCCACGCTGGTAAGGTCTTTATCTAGGTCAGCAGGTCATTCCCACGCTGGTAAGGTCTTTATCTAGGTCAACAGGTCATTCCCACGCTGGTAAGGTCTTTCTCTAGGTCAACAGGTCATTCCCACGCTGGTAAGGTCTTTCTCTAGGTCAGCAGGTCATTCCCAAGCTGGTAAGGTCTTTATCTAGGTCAGCAGGTCATTCCCACGCTGGTAAGGTCTTTTGTTTGGTCTGTATTCTAAAAACATAATCAAAATGGTAAGACATTATTAGGTCATCAACGCTGATAAAAACAGGTTTTCTCTGACCAAAAGGTTATTATTTCAGCCAACATTAATTTATGCCATTAATGTGGATGTTTTATCCAACCAATTAAGACATGTGTACTTCGACTTTGTCCCATTATTGGCCATTTTTAAATGGCGTTACGAACCTCGTGAAGTAGTGTTCCCCTGCATTTGTGACCTTGGTTTATAATGGGATTGTGCGGCCATTACAAGATCCGAACTCGAGAATTTCATGTTAGCAGTTGAACGCTCTACCATTTGACCACTCCGTCCCTATGTTTGTATCAAAACGTGTTTCATCGTCAGGACTACTACAAAGTACTGTACAAGGTGGTCAACCTGTATGTCGAGAGCCTGTTGTCCAGCAGTGGTCAGTCGTGCCGGGCTGTCAGCACCTACATCCAGATGACGTCACCATTGTACGACCAGAGACCGCACGAGACAGAAAACATTTACGCCAACATCCAATCCATTTACGCGGTAAGACATTCTCTTGTTGGACTGTTGGAGACATCTAGACATTCTCTTGTTGGACTGTAGGAGACATCTAGACATTCTCTTGTTGGACTGTAGGAGACATCTAGACATTCTCTTGTTGGACTGTAGGAGACATCTAGACATTCTATTGTTGGACTGTTGGAGACATCTAGACATTCTATTGTTGGACTGTTGGAGACATCTAGACATTCTCTTGTTGGACTGTAGGAGACATCTAGACATTCTCTTGTTGGACTGTTGGAGACATCTAGACATTCTCTTGTTGGACTGTAGGAGACATCTAAACATTCTCTTGTTGGACTGTAGGAGACATCTAGACATTCTATTGTTGGACTGTTGGAGACATCTAGACATTCTCTTGTTGGACTGTTGGAGACATCTAGACATTCTCTTTTTGATCTGCTGGAGACATCTAGACATTCTCTTGTTGGACTGTTGGAGACATCTAGACATTCTCTTGTTGGACTGCTGGAGACATCTAGACATTCTCTTGTTGGACTGTAGGAGACATCTAGACATTCTATTGTTGGACTGTTGGAGACATCTAGACATTCTCTTGTTGGACTGTTGGAGACATCTAGACATTCTCTTTTTGATCTGCTGGAGACATCTAGACATTCTCTTGTTGGACTGTTGGAGACATCTAGACATTCTCTTTTTGATCTGCTGGAGACATCTAGACATTCTCTTGTTGGACTGCTGGAGACATCTAGACTTTCTCTTGTTGGACTGTTGGAGACATCTAGACATTCTCTTTTTGATCTGCTGGAGACATCTAGACATTCTCTTGTTGGACTGTAGGAGACATCTAGACATTCTCTTTTTGATCTGCTGGAGACATCTAGACATTCTCTTGTTGGACTGCTGGAGACATCTAGACTTTCTCTTGTTGGACTGTTGGAGACATCTAGACATTCTCTTTTTGATCTGCTGGAGACATCTAGACATTCTCTTGTTGGACTGTTGGAGACATCTAGACATTCTCTTTTTGATCTGCTGGAGACATCTAGACATTCTCTTGTTGGACTGTTGGAGACATCTAGACATTCTCTTTTTGATCTGCTGGAGACATCTAGACATTCTCTTGTTGGACTGCTGGAGACATCTAGACATTCTTTTGTTGGACTGCTGGAGACATCTAGACATTCTCTTGTTGGACTGTTGGAGACATCTAGACATTCTCTTTTTGATCTGCTGGAGACATCTAGACATTCTCTTGTTGGACTGCTGGAGACATCTAGACATTCTTTTGTTGGACTGCTGGAGACATCTAGACATTCTCTTGTTGGACTGTAGGAGACATCTAGACATTCTATTGTTGGACTGTTGGAGACATCTAGACATTCTCTTGTTGGACTGTTGGAGACATCTAGACATTCTCTTTTTGATCTGCTGGAGACATCTAGACATTCTCTTGTTGGACTGTTGGAGACATCTAGACATTCTCTTTTTGATCTGCTGGAGACATCTAGACATTCTCTTGTTGGACTGCTGGAGACATCTAGACTTTCTCTTGTTGGACTGTTGGAGACATCTAGACATTCTCTTTTTGATCTGCTGGAGACATCTAGACATTCTCTTGTTGGACTGTTGGAGACATCTAGACATTCTCTTTTTGATCTGCTGGAGACATCTAGACATTCTCTTGTTGGACTGTTGGAGACATCTAGACATTCTCTTTTTGATCTGCTGGAGACATCTAGACTTTCTCTTGTTGGACTGTTGGAGACATCTAGACATTCTCTTTTTGATCTGCTGGAGACATCTAGACATTCTCTTGTTGGACTGTTGGAGACATCTAGACATTCTCTTTTTGATCTGCTGGAGACATCTAGACATTCTCTTGTTGGACTGTTGGAGACATCTAGACATTCTCTTTTTGATCTGCTGGAGACATCTAGACATTCTCTTGTTGGACTGCTGGAGACATCTAGATATTCTTTTGTTGGACTGCTGGAGACATCTAGACATTCTCTTGTTGGACTGTTGGAGACATCTAGACATTCTCTTTTTGATCTGCTGGAGACATCTAGACATTCTCTTGTTGGACTGCTGGAGACATCTAGACATTCTTTTGTTGGACTGCTGGAGACATCTAGACATTCTCTTGTTGGACTGCTGGAGACATCTAGACATTCTCTTGTTGGACTGCTGGAGACATCTAGACATTCTCTTGTTGGACTGCTGGAGACAGACATTCTTGCACTCTTGTTTAGTGCAAATATAGGGAGAATGTATTGTAAAGAATATAAATGTTTTAACTTTATGTAATGCAATATTTTGGCTACCGTTGTTAAAATCTACATATAAAGATTTACAAGGGCTGAAAAAAAAAATTAATTTATAAGTGCTGGCAGTTGAAAGTCCTGGTGAAGTAGAGTTCACTTGTTATTTTGATCTGCTCATACTGGTATTGTGTGGTCAGAACAATTCTATCTTAATTAAATTATCTAGCTCGACTCAGGTACTCATTGAAGCTGAGTCGGCTCATGGGCGGACTACGGGGTTAGCTCGGGGGGCAAACTCGTCTATCTTTTAAAAAATTGACGAATCAGTGAAAAGTTTACACATTTAAACATATTTATACATAATGGCGTAATTAAAATGACAAGTGACTTAATTTACTCTTTACGTTTAACTTTAATTATAGGAAATACAAGTAATTTGGAAAGTACATCGTATACATTATTGACAGCATTAACCTTCTTGTTCTAACTAGTAGTCTCACGTTTCAGACTTCTAGAAAGAGCTTTAGTCTAAATTGTATTTCTTATTTTGTTTTAGACTCCAACACAATAGATTCAGGGCAATAGACTGATTGAGGTTGATGAAGAAACAAATCAAAACAAAAACCAACAAAAGCCTGCTGCAAACTTCAACCTACAACCTCGCCTATTGTCTTTTCCATTTATAGTTACAAGTGACTTTTTAAAAATTCAATAATGAGTTGTTTTTTTACTACGTATAATTCTTAATGGGCACATGTTTAGCATGAATTAATAAAAGGGACGTGAATAGTAAGGCATCTTTTGATCATTCTCTCTGATTAAATATCATATACATATTACAAATAAAGTAGTTAAATCATTAAATTATAAATAACCTGTAGCAGACCCCCCCCCAACTTGCCCACCAGCTAAATGCTTAGTTTGTAAAGCTAGTCTTTAGAAAGCTTTTGGATGGGAAGCGTTTAATGAAATATGCATCTTAAAAATGAACGACTCTCCTTCAAGTGTAGTTGTTGCACAAAGGTCAGCACTTCTATTTATTATTTTGTCTTACCTAGTTCGATCTTCTCTAGATACTTATTCGACTTCTGTTTGCCGCGATATTTGCTCTTCTAATTGCTTCGCTATCGATTCGTTAATTGAATGAAAATGATTTTACTATAATTAAAACTGGAATTAAATCGAGGAATACTTGGGTTTTGTTTTTGTTATTTACTAAAACAGGTGGGCTGTAAGTGTATGCTTGTGTGCCTACGTGCGTGGGTATGACTGTGTATGTGTATGAGTGGACGACAGTAAAAGCGTATACCTACCTTTGTTACGCCAGGACTTATATGACTGTGTGTGTGTGTGTGAGTGGACGTGAGTAAAAGCGTATACCTACCTTTGTTACGCCAGGCCTTATATGACTGTGTGTGTGTGTGAGTGGACGACAGTAAAAGCGTATACCTACCTTTGTTACGCCAGGCCTTATATGACTGTATGTGTGTGTGTGAGTGGACGACAGTAAAAGCGTATACCTACCTTTGTTACGCCAGGCCTTATATGACTGTGTGTGTGTGTGAGTGGACGACAGTAAAAGCGTATACCTACCTTTGTTACGCCAGGCCTTATATGACTGTGTGTGTGTGTGAGTGGACGACAGTAAAAGCGTATACCTACCTTTGTTACGCCAGGCCTTATAACCACCCCAGTACAACCAATAGTTTGGATGTGAAGGTCAGTTCATCGGGGTCTCTTCTAGGTCTTGTCCCTCTAGAACAGATCGGTTCAGTTCTAAAATGGTGCTTGAGTTGTCATGGAACAGCATAACTTTCTAGTCTACTAGACAGTCTAGTCCAGCGGTTTGTCTAGTCTAACTTGGTGGTCAAGTCTAGCTTCAACGTGTCTAGTCTAGTCTCAATGTGTCAAGTCTAGTCTCAGTGTGTCTAGCCTAGTCTCAATGTGTCAAGTCTAGTCTCAGTGTAGTCTAGTCTCAGTGTGTCTAGTCTAGTCTCAGTGTGTCTAGTCTAGTCTCAGTGTGTCTAGTCTAGTCTCAGTGCGTCTAGTCTAACTTGGTGGTCAAGTCTAGCCTCAACGTGTCTAGTCTAGTCTCAATGTGTCAAGTCTAGTCTCAGTGTGTCAAGTCTAGTCTCAGTGTGTCTAGTCTAGTCTCAGTGTGTCTAGTCTAGTCTCAGTGCGTCTAGTCTAACTTGGTGGTCAAGTCTAGCCTCAACGTGTCTAGTCTAGTCTCAATGTGTCAAGTCTAGTCTCAGTGTGTCAAGTCTAGTCTCAGTGCGTCTAGTCTAACTTGGTGGTCAAGTCTAGCCTCAACGTGTCTAGTCTAGTCTCAATGTGTCAAGTCTAGTCTCAGTGTGTCTAGCCTAGTCTCAATGTGTCAAGTCTAGTCTCAGTGTGTCAAGTCTAGTCTCAGTGTGTCTAGTCTAGTCTCAGTGTGTCAAGTCTAGTCTCAGTGTGTCAAGTCTAGTCTCAGTGTGTCTAGCCTAGTCTCAATGTGTCAAGTCTAGTCTCAGTGTGTCTAGTCTAGTCTCAGTGTGTCTAGTCTCAGTGTGTCATGTCTAGTCTCAGTGTGTCTAGTCTAGTCTCAGTGTGTCTAGTCTCAGTGTGTCAAGTCTAGTCTCAGTGTGTCTAGTCTCAGTGTGTCATGTCTAGTCTCAGTGTGTCAAGTCTAGTCTCAGTGTGTCAAGTCTAGTCTCAGTGTGTCTAGTCTAGTCTCAGTGTGTCAAGTCTAGTCTCATTGTGTCTAGTCTCAGTGTGTCATGTCTAGTCTCAATGTGTCAAGTCTAGTCTCAGTGTGTCAAGTCTAGTCTCAGTGTGTCTAGTCTCAGTGTGTCATGTCTAGTCTCAATGTGTCAAGTCTAGTCTCAGTGTGTCAAGTCTAGTCTCAGTGTGTCTAGTCTAGTCTCAGTGTGTCTAGTCTCAGTGTGTCAAGTCTAGTCTCAGTGTGTCTAGTCTCAGTGTGTCATGTCTAGTCTCAGTGTGTCAAGTCTAGTCTCAGTGTGTCAAGTCTAGTCTCAGTGTGTCTAGTCTCAGTGTGTCAAGTCTAGTCTCAGTGTGTCAAGTCTAGTCTCAGTGTGTCATGTCTAGTCTCAGTGTGTCAAGTCTAGTCTCAGTGTGTCAAGTCTAGTCTCAGTGTGTCTAGTCTAGTCTCAGTGTGTCAAGTCTAGTCTCAGTGTGTCTAGTCTAGTCTCAGTGTGTCAAGTCTAGTCTCAGTGTGTCTAGTCTCAGTGTGTCATGTCTAGTCTCAGTGTGTCAAGTCTAGTCTCAGTGTGTCAAGTCTAGTCTCAGTGTGTCATGTCTAGTCTCAGTGTGTCTAGTCTCAGTGTGTCGTGTCTAGTCTCAGTGTGTCAAGTCTAGTCTCAGTGTGTCAAGTCTAGTCTCAGTGTGTCAAGTCTAGTCTCAGTGTGTCTAGTCTCAGTGTGTCATGTCTAGTCTCAGTGTGTCAAGTCTAGTCTCAGTGTGTCAAGTCTAGTCTCAATGTGTCAAGTCTAGTCTCAGTGTGTCTAGTCTCAGTGTGTCTAGTCTAGTCTCAGTGTGTCATGTCTAGTCTCAGTGTGTCAAGTCTAGTCTCGGTGTGTCCAGTCTAACCTGGTGGTCAAGTCATGACCTGGTCTGTCAAAGTCAATCAGATGTCCACGTGACCGTCATCCCTACAAACATTTCAAAAGAAAACAATCACTCAAACACTATTGTATTAACGTCAAGTTTTATTTTGACAAGTGATGGAACAGATTACTGTCAAAATACACGACTTAAATCTGAAGTCTGCACGACACATTATTTTAGCATGGTCTAGCCTATACCCTCACCATATTCGGTTACCTAGAATTACATACCAATTGGTAGACATTTGTTATCGTCGGTGTGTGTTCATTTGTGCGTGTATCTGTATGCGTTTGTATGTGCGTCTGTGTCGGTCAGCGTGTGCGTCTATATGTGTTTCTATGAATGTGTCTGTGTACATACATATATTATAAAAAAAAATATATCAACATTTATAGAGTAGAATGCATCCAAAAGAACGAGCAGATGAACCTTGACCCATCAACCAAAGGTCCTTAGTTCGAGCCTCCATGACCGTCATTCCTTGTCTTCTTGTTATAGGTTTCACTTTCATCATCACATGGATGTTGTCTGGTGGGTGGGGGGGGGGGGGGGGTAGGAGAGGACAAAACATCAATTAGAAATTATGGTATGGGTAGTACAATGTTTGGTTGGAGACAATGGAACTGTATTACAAGGGTGTGTAAAGCGCCTGGTCTGACGTAAGTAATTGACACATGGCTAACACACTCGAGCTTGAGTACCCATGCAGGGTATAAAATTAACAGAAAGATTGATGGTTTTATAAGTATAAACTAATAGAAAAAACAACCATTAGGTGCGGAAACGCGATTAAATCTAAGGTTAATGTAAACAGCAATAACCCAGCAGCAAACCCAACACACCAACACCAGCACCAACCCAACACACCAACACCAGCACCAACACCAACACCAGCACCAACCCAACACACCAACACCAGCACCAACCCAACACACCAACACCAGCACCAACCCAACACACCAACACCAGCACCAACCCAACACACCAACACCAGCACCAACACCAGCACCAACACCAACACCAGCACCAACCCAACACACCAACACCAGCACCAACCCAACACATCAAATCCAGCACCAACCCAACACATCAACATCAGCACCAACCCAACACATCAACACCAGCACCAACCCAACACATCAACACCAGCACCAACCCAACACATCAACACCAGCACCAACACCAGCACCAGCACCAACCCAACACGTCAAATCCAGCACCAACCCAACACATCAACACCTCTATGGTGTGAGCTGCCTTTTTCTGGTCGTGGCTTGTCTGGGGTGGGTGTGTGAACTTCCTTTTTCTGGGCGTGGCTTGTCTAGGGTGGGTGTGTGAGCTGCCTTTTTCTGGGCGTGGCTTGTCTGGGGTGGGTGTGTGAACTTCCTTTTTCTGGGCGTGGCTTGTCTGGGGTGGGTGTATGAGCTGCCTTTTTCTGGTCGTGGCTTGTCTAGGGTGGGTGTGTGAGCTGCCTATTTCTGGTCGTGGCTTGTCTGGGGTGGGTGTGTGAGCTGTCTTTTTCTGGGCGTGGCTTGTTTGGGGTGGGTGTGTGAGGTACCTTTTTCTTGGCGTGGCTTATCTGGGGTGGGTGTGTAAGGTACCTTTTTCTGGGCGGGGCTTGTCTGGGGTGGGAGCCAGAAAGGGGGGTGTCCCCGTGGTTGCCGCCGTTGATGTAGGTCGTCTTGCCGTCGTTGACAAACACAACATCAGGACCTTTAGAATGTTCTGGAGCTGCTTCACATGACCCGACCATTTCGTTCGCTTGCACTTCAAAGATCCACAATCTTGTAAAACTATCAATATATACTGATATAATCATAAATATATATATATATATATATATATATATATATATATATATATATATATATATATATATATATAATTTCCATATTATTTCGTTTACCCCACCCCAACTCCCTCTCCTGCTAGTTGCACTAATTAAACTTATTGGTTGGTTTCAACGTCATACTTCAAAAGACCTTGTAGCATCTACAACACTTATTCAAAATACATAATACAGTGTGTGTGTCTGTGATCCTTGATTAAAGTGAATTCATAAGGTAAGCAAACAGCAAGCTTTAAAACGCCCGAGCTAGAATTGCCAACTGAAAATGTCGAGATATAGGCCTAGCCTCTATTGGCACTGTAAAGCTGTATCAAACAGGTACTGGATATGAAACCTCCACTCTTTGACGCAAGGTTTAGCACTAATGTATGGTTCTTCTCTTGTCTCATCTAAGTCAAACTTTATCTGCCTCAAGGATTATAAATGAAGTGGGATAAAAGGGTCCTAAATTACGCTATCCAATACAAGTTTCAAACACAACAACATAAATAAAACATTTGCTGTAAAAATACTTGTTCTGAATTAAAGGAAACAAAACAGAACATAGCTAAAACAGATATTCCCCCCCCCCCCAACAGTCCAGTTTTTTCTTATAATACTGAAATTCCATAGTCTCAATTGTTCTTCACAATATACTTGCAATAACATTGTGGTTTTTTATTTTATTTTCAGATAACATAAACGTAGCAATAGTTGAAAAAAAAAGGTAAAAGTGTTTTGTTTTGTTGTATTTAGCAAAAAATTCCCTGTTATGAAAACATAAATGCGAGAAAGAAAATATCGTAGAGAGTTTTCCGGTGGCGGAATTTTAAATACTTTCGACAGTATATGTGCGCGAGATGCGTTTCTTTCATTGTTTTCTGCCGTGTTTTACCTCAGTCGTCATTCCCTTGTCACCTTTGTCATTACCGTCAGACATCATCCCTGCCATTAAACCCTGCCAATAAACCCTGACATTAAACCCTGACAATAAACCCTGCCAATAAACCCTAACATTAAACCCTGCCATTAAACCCTGCCATTAAACCCTGCCATTAAACCCTGCAATTAAACCCTGCAATTAAACCCTACAATTAAACCCTGCAATTAAACCCTGCAATTAAACCCTTTTATTAAACCCTGCCATTAAACCCTGCCTTTAAACCCGGCCATTAAACCCTAACATTAAATCCTACCATTAAACCCTGCGATTAAACCCTGCCATTAAACCCTGCCATTAAACCCTGCCATTAAACCCTGACATTAAACCCTGACATTAAACCCTGAAATTTATCCTTGACACTACTCATGACATTGCACATTTACACTACCCCCTAATGTTTGTCACAATCTCCCTTTCACTAACTACCCCTGATACCTGTTACAATCCCCTGTCACAACCCCTGATATCTGTTACAATCCCCTGTCACAACCCCTGAATTAGCTGTCTTCTACTACCCACAGATATAGTTTATACAAGGCACTAATAGCTGAGGGTATAGCAAGGAAAAAAACACAGTGTTAACGTCGCTTGACTTCCAGCCATGATATAAACACCACCCCAACCAAGAACATGCCATTTGGTAAAGACAATTACATAATCACAATTTTAAAACGTACTTGTCGTTCCAATATTGTTAACAAACAAACTAAGAGTTTATACATTCAACACAACAAGCTTACTTTATAATCGTTTCATTGTAAACAACTGTAAAACAGAACTATTTCCGTCTATCAGAAATTTTTTGTCGTCATGTCTTTTGTGTGCGCAATTGGTGCGCTTTGTTTTCCAACAAACACATTTACATTCCTGCACATTCATTTCAAACAAGTTAGACACCCACATGGGATAACTATCTATAGTAACATTTTTGGTTATTAATTTTTTAAGTAAACCCAATTTTTAAATAGACAAAAAAGGGTTGGTTGTTCGCAGTCGAGCATTTTAAAAACGGCGGAAATTCAAAATTCATACACCAGATAAAGCGCGAGTGAGCTTCCATTAATTTTCTCTTTTATTCGTACATTCTTATATAACGGTATGGTTTGTTCCATACTTCTATACACCTCTGGCAACATTCCACTGGAAATACCATCCCAAACATTGCTGTTACTTGAGAATATTTATCTGTGTCAAGTTCTGTTGACTAGCCCCCGAGTTATGCCAAATCTAGCCCCGAGTGATCCCAAATCTAGCCTTGAGTTATGCCAAATCTAGCCTTGAGTTATCCCAAATCTAGCCTTGAGTTATGCCAAATCTAGCCTTGAGTTATCCCAAATCTAGCCAAGAGTTATCCCAAATCTAGCCAAGAGTTATCCCAAATCTAGCCTTGGATTATCCCAAATCTAGTCCCGAGTTATCCCAAATCTAGCCCCGAGTTATCCCAAATCTAGCCCCGAGTTATCCTAAATCTAGCCTCGAGTTATCCCAAATCTAGCCCCGAGTTATCCCAAATCTAGCCACAAGTTATCCCAAATCTAGCCTTGAGTTATGCCAAATCTAGCCTCGAGTTATCCCAAATCTAGCCCCGAGTTATTCCAAATCTAGCCCCAAGTTATCCCAACATCTAGCCTTGAGTTATGCCAAATCTAGCCCCGAGTTATCCCAAATCTAGCCTCGAGTTATCCCAAATCTAGCCTTGAGTTATGCCAAATCTAGCCTTGAGTTATCCCAAATCTAGCCCCGAGTTATCCCAAATCTAGCCCCGAGTTATCCCAAATTTAGCCTTGAGTTATCCCAAATCTAGCCTTGAATTATGCCAAATCTAGCCTTGAGTTATGCCAAATCTAGCCTCGAGTTATCCCAAATCTAGCCCCGAGTTATGCCAAATCTAGCCCCGAGTTATCCCAAATCTAGCCCCGAGTTATCCCAAATCTAGCCCCGAGTTATCCCAAATCTAGCCCCGAGTTATCCCAAATCTAGCCTTGAGTTATCCCAAATCTAGCCCCGAGTTATCCCAAATCTAGCTAAGAGTTATCCCAAATCTAGCCTTGAGTTATGCCAAATCTAGCCCCGAGTTATCCCAAATCTAGCCCCGAGTTATCCCAAATCTAGCCTTGAGTTATGCCAAATCTAGCCTTGAGTTATCCCAAATCTAGCCCCGAGTTATCCCAAATCTAGCCCCGAGTTATCCCAAATCTAGCCTCGAGTTATGCCAAATCTAGCCTTGAGTTATCCTAAATCTAGCCTTGAGTTATGCCAAATCTAGCCCCGAGTTATCCCAAATCTAGCCTTGAGTTATCCCAAATCTAGCCTTGAGTTATGCCAAATCTAGCCTTGAGTTATCCCAAACCTTGGCCCCAGTTATCTCAAATCTAGTACCTAGTTATTCCAAATCTAGCCTTGAGTTATCCCAAGCCTAGCCTAGAGTTATGTCACATCCAGCTTGTTATGCCAATTCTAGCTCCGAGCGGTAGAGCGTGCCACTGCTAACCTTAACGTCTCGAGTTCGAATCACCGGCCCGAGTCCGTAGGTTGCACCTTAGTCATTCTCTCTGACCACACTATCTCCTCTTATGCCGAGGTCACAGAAACAGGTGAGCTCTACTTCATCTTCCCCTCGGATCACCAAATGTGAAACTGTAACTACCAGCCTGGGTTCAGACACACATATAAAGACACAAATCTATACATTTTATTCATGGATTTATTTTTTATATCAAATGTTTTTATCTTTTACAGTTTCTGAAGGGGGTGAAATGTGCGTACGACTATGTGTCAATGTTTATCTGTGAATGAGACTGTATATACATCTGCATGTTTGTGCCTGTGTCTGTGTACGCGTAGGTGTACAAGCGTACACAAAAATATCAACATTTTAGAGTAGAATGCATCCAACAGATAGAGCAGATTAACCTTGACCCTTCAACCAATTGTCCTTAGCTCGAGCCTCCATGACCGTCGTTCCTCGTCTGCTTGTTGTATGTGGAGTAGAGGAGGACAACAAATAATTAGACATTTTTGACAGTACAATGTACAGAGTGAGAGAATAGAACTATTTTATTAGATAGTGTTATGTAGGTCTACCAGATCTGCTGTAAGTAATTGACAAAAGACAGAAAAGCGCGCCGTTTTGCTGTAAAAGGTCTAACAAGGATAAGTGGCGTCTGCATTACTGAGGTCATGATAGAATATGAAACACGTTTTGTGACAGTTCTATGTGACAGTTCTATGTGACAGTTGTATGTGACAGTTCTATGTGGCAGTTCTATGTGGCAGTTCTATGTGACAGTTCTATGTGACAGTTGTGACAGTTCTATGTGACAGTTCTATGTGACAGTTCTATGTGACAGTTCTATGTGACAGTTCTATGTGACAGTTCTATGTGACAGTTCTATGTGACAGTTCTATGTGACAGTTCTATGTGGCAACTGCAGCTTTTGGGTCTGGTCGCTAGAAATGTGTAGGTAGATATTGTTAGAGGCAATCTTTGTTTTCATAATGTATAATATACAACGTTAGAGATGTGCAAAGACATAATTTTATAGGCGATCTTTGTTTTCAGAATTTAAAATATACATGGTTAGAAAGACATATAATGTTATCTGCTATCTTTGTTATGAGAATTTAAAAATATACAAATATACAAAGCGAAGAACTACGCATATTTGACACATAATACATATAATGAAATATTAAACTACAAGTATTGTTAAAGAAACTTGTCTTTTACTTTAAAGTAAAACAGACAGACGAACAGACAGACGGGCGGACCTACGGACGGACGGACGGAACAAAAAGCATTAAAAACAGAAAGGCAGAAAAACAGTAATGAAAATGTTTTTCTTTACGTACGTTGATGTTAACGGTACAAGGCGCCCCGTTGATGATGTTGGAGAAGATACTCGCATGTACCCGGCTGTTGTTTTCAGCCCTTGGATGGGACGCGTGGGCATCATCGTCAACAACAAATGTAGTCTGCCCATCATTGATGAACACATTCTTCTTTGGATCTGGTTTAGGTACACTGGTTTTCATAGCATTTAATCCGGCCCTAAGCCCCGCCTCCATTGGCCTAAGCCCCGCCTCCATTGCTCTGAGCCCCGCCTCCATTGGCCTAAGCCCAGCCTTCAGTACTCTTAATCCCGCCTTCATTTGCCTGAATTCCGGCTCCATTCTACTTGTTCCGAAACTATTAAACTTTCGAGAAAATACATTTCTGTTAATTCATGCATAAACTATCTGTGTATTTAACGTTAGTAATATTTAAGTTATGTAGGAAGTATTTAGAAAATACAAAAATCTTTGTGAATAAAACACATTTTTTAAAATATCAATAAGGCAATAGTGTAACGTAAAAGTAAGGTTTGTAACTTGAATTTTTAAAAGTTATTACTGGGTTTAAGAATTCAATTAGGATAGGGTCATGATTAGAATCACAGAGTGGAGGGAAATGCCGGGATTTGGGTTTACAGTATGTCTCAGTGAGGGATTTTCAAGGTCAAGACGTTTGCTAAATTTACTATTTTAATTAAGGTTTTGAGTTTTCAATTGTAATACCTTTTGCAGAAAATGGCTGCTGAAAAGAAGAACAGGGTAACGCCGGGCTAGTGATTATTCATCTGTTAAGATGAATCATGGGCATTAACTCATGACACTACCCAACATTAATTACACAAAACGACTTTGACTCATCTTAATCTACTCATTATGGAACGGCGTGGCCTAGAGCTCTAGACATCTAAGCCCGAAAGTCTCAAGTTCGAATACGGGTTCGTCAGTGGAACGCCCCTGAGTCCACACAGCTCTGATGGGTACCTAACTCCGGTTTTAGAAAGTAAAGACGAATGGGCATAGTGTTGACCACATTATCACTTCATATACTGAGGTCAAGAAACCTTTGAACTCTACTTTATCTGCCCAATGGATCTTTAGGTCTAAAGTGGTATCTCTAACATCTCATTACTCCAAACAGAGGGTCATGACATTACCCTCTCTTTTGAAAGACTACCCACTCCTCGTCACATACGGCCCTACCGAATACCACGATTACTTCTTATGCTTCTTGTAACACCATATGGAAATAATTTAAAAATAACTAGATCTACATTCAAAAGATTTTCAGTCTCCATTGTAAAGGCTCGACCTTTGGGTCTGTCTCAGTATCTAGTTCAACCGTCGGTTTAGTTCGACCTTCGTGTCTGCCTCAGGATCTAGTTCAACCGTCGGTTTAGTTCGACCGTTGTGTCTCGAAGTGTGAGTGAGAGGGTAATGCCTTGACCCAGTCACCCAACATTGCGAAAAGACAAGACCCATGATTTTCTTACTGTGAAACAACAACTCCTCCCTCACCAATTACTTAACTACTGTAACAAACTAAATATTTGTGTCACGATTCCTGAAAATAAAACATACCCTACCATTCAAGAAATTTGGTTTGCTTTCTCAAACACGGTGTATGAAGCCACTAGGTTGATGCATTTCTCGTGCGTTTCTTTACAAGACTTTCTGGTGCGTTTATTTACAAACGGTTTATGGTGGGTTTATTTACACACGGTTTATGGTGCGTTTATTTACAAACGGTTTATGGTGGGTTTATTTACTAACGGTTTATGTTGCGTTTCTATACAAGACTTTCTGGTGCGTTTATTTACAAACGGTTTATTGTGCGTTTCTTTACAAGACTTTCTGGTGCGTTTATTTACAAACGGTTTATGGTGCGTTTCTTTACAAGACTTTCTGGAGCGTTTATTTACAAGCAGTTTCTGGTGCGTTTATTTACAAGCAGTTTCTGGTGCGTTTATTTACAAACGGTTTATGGTGCGTTTCTTTACAAGACTTTCTGATGCGTTTATTTACAAACGGTTTATGGTCTGTTTATTTATAAGCGTTTCTGGTGCGTTTATTTACAAGCATTTCTAGCAGTGATGTAGGTCTAGTCAAATCTAGAACGTATGTGTCTATGGCAGGGGTCGGCAACCTTTTGAGACGGAAGAGCCATATGTTACAATTTTCAAAATTTCTCAGTTTTTAAAGAGCCACTAACATTTTTTCCAATATTTTATTATTTGATTAGGGTTAGGTAAATAAATTTGATTATTTATTTAAAATAAATATCTTTAAATATGAAATAATATTTCATCACATAAAAACATACACTTATTTTGCCAGAATAATGACATCAGTAATTAAAAAACAAAAATATAGAACTATCCCAATCCACTTGAGAAGCAGTTGACTTTTTTTTATACGGACATCACCGGCTCAGGGAGTGTATCCTATTAGTCAGGCAGGCCTCAACACGGCAAACTCCGACTAAGTGGCTTGAATATCGGTTTGATTGCCGTGTATCTGTCGCTTCTGTCCTTTGGTTCTCACCAGGCTTATCTTCCACCCCACTGAACGCAGGGTAAACTCATGCCCCACCGTCCAGTATCCGGCTCGACAGTAGGTAGCTAATAGCTAAAAAAACTACGTCACTCACGCCAAATTAATGATTATGCATTCTGAATAAGCTAACATTCCCCATTAATGGTATTCGAAAAAGTCGGCACTTGGGCGGTGGCAAGCATGGAATAGTTGCCACGGGGCTCGCTACAGCGAGGCTGTGAGCTGGACTTAGTGCCCAAGTGACTGTCCGTATACTTTCTACTGCACATATTCTCTCTGCTCTCTGATGAGTTTTTTTTTCTTCTGTTTAAACTTGTGTTTCTTTACTGATATGTGACTAGTCTATGTGCCTAGTTTTCACTGATATGTGACTAGTCTATCACTTCTTCATCTTCGTCTTCGTTCTTAATTATTAGCGTTGAAGGGGATCGAGAGTTATCTGCCAGTGGATTTGAACTCGAGACTTTTTCGAATTTATCAACCATGAGCTTTTTGCCGACTCGACCACGCCTTCAATACAATTAAGCGTTACGTGTCAACTGGTTATGCGCAATTGAGGCCATTGACTCCGATTTCAGCCTGCTTTTCTTTTTGGATTTGCTTCCATAGCCTTTGTCCAACCAAGAACAAGCTACAGGGCAGCAGTTGTTTGATTTTGGAGTTGTCTCTCCTAGAAGAGTGGCTGTTCCCAGCTAACGAGCATCATCTACCCGTGGGATCGAACTCGAGACTTTTCGGTTTAGCAACCATGAGCTTTACCGACTCGACCACGCCGACCCCTAGTTTTCACTGATATGTGACTAGTCTGCCTAATTTTCACTATGTGACTAAACTATGTGCCTGGTTTCACTGATATGTGACTAGACTATGTGCATAGTTTTTACTGATATGTGACTAGTCTACATTGTTTCTTCCAGGCATCACTTCCTTGAAGAAAGAATACCCCCCCCCCCACCAAACGAAATGGAAATTTATATAGAAAAAAAATATTTTTACAAAATGTCCCCCATCACCGAAAATATCAAGTGCCCCCCCCCCCCCGGAGAAAAAAAGGCTGGAAAAAACACTGCTAGTCTCTGTTTCTAGTATAAACTTATCTGGCACTGTTTCTATTCTAAACAAATCTATCAACAAATGATGAGTATAGTATTAAGAAATCTCACATTCATCAGAACAGTCAGTGATACAAAAAAATCACATAAGAAATGTTAGGTTCACGTACAGTTTAATTTATGACGGGAGGTGGAACAGACCACAAGCAGGCATACACACATTCCCACCTCGCACGCGTGACCGAATTATTTTTGTAATAATTAGGCTTGACTTTCAGCATGGTATGTGCATTGTAATAATTAAGCAAGCCATGCTAGTGTAGTCAGTATGTAAATTTAACACATGGTTCAGCCGGAGAATGCGTCAGTGTATGTGTATATAAGCCTGTGTTTATTATTATGTGTGTCTGTATGCATGTGCATGAATCTGTATCCACGTCCGACTAAGCTTGTACGCGTACTTGTAAGTGTATATGAATTTGTCTGTTTGGGTGTCCATCCCTATGTGTGTCTGTATGTGTGTCTGTTGTGTGTCTGTATGTGTGTCTGTTTGGGTGTCCGTATGTGTGCTAGATGTGTGTCTAGATGTGTATCCTTATATGTGTCTGTGTGTGTGTCTGTATATGTGTCTGTAAGTGTGTTTGTATATGTGTCTAGATGTGCGTCTAAATGTGTATCCTTATATGTGTCTATGTTTATATGTGTGTCTGTATATGTGTCTAGATGTGCGTCTAAATGTATATCCTTATGTGTCTGTATGTGTGTCTACATGTGTGTCTGTATATTTTTCTGTATGTGTCTAAGTATGCGAGTCTGTGAGCTTGTATGTGAGTCTAGTCGCTGTGTGTCTATGTGCGTGAATGTCTGGATGAGCTACTACTGGCACGAGTTTATGAAAGGTTAAACATAGACAGCCAATCATCCGAATACTCTTCCGAGGAGTCAGACTGCCAGTAGTTCCCGTTAGTGTCCACTCTGGTTCTCTTGGCACTTGATTCACTCTGGGCCTGGTTGGTCGAGGGTCTGGTCAGGTTGAAGGATTGGAAAAAAACAACAAAAAAATAATCATACACATCGGAAGATAAGAGTTTTTGTATGTTGTATTGGTCATTATGCGATGTGCATGATATTCTATTAAAGAATGATCAATGGTAAGCAATATGTGGCCGCAGATCTTCACTCTAGAACTCTAGACGCTACTAGATCATAAGTCATACAAGACCACACGATCTCAGCATAAACAATGTCAAAATATCCTACTCACATATCTCAAGGGTAAGAATCTTTTCAAAAGTTTCATTTTTATTTTAATTCAATATTTTGTGTAAAACAGAATCGAGAGCATCTGTTTAAATGTATACATTGATTCAAAGTAACATATTATTTTCTACAACAATTTTCATAAATGAACAATGTTTTGGACATATTTTTAAAACAGAAATATAAAGGTAGGAAAAGAAAGGGCTTCTACAGGGGAAAGCACTAAGTAAGATAAAATGATCAAAATAATAAAATCGGTTGCCTCCTCTTGGCTAAACTGCCACCACTTATCAACAAAATGACTGTAAACAAACAGCAGATTAAAGTAGATAACCTACGTCTAGAAATTCTACAATATCTTTTCAGACCTATCGTTCGATAGTAAAGATGAAGTCGAGTTGACCTGTTTGAATGAGATGCATGTAATAATGTTTTGACTTACTCCGTTCAAGTGATTTCATGTATATATTATTTAGGGAATTTCAGAATGTACCCCATGAAAAATATGTAAACAATAGAAAAAGGAAACAACGTCGGCCATTGCTGCATGGTCTTGTTTCAAAAACATTTTCTATCTCGTGAAATAACTCATTAAAAAAAAAGAAAGAAAAATGAACGAACAGATAGACAAACATATTGCACGGGCAGACAGGCAAACAGGCTGACAGGCAGACAGCCGGACAGTCAGGCAGGCAGTCAGACAGCCGGACAGTCAGGCAGGCAGTCAGATAGCCGGACTGTCGGACAGGCAGTCAGACAGCCGGACAGTCAGACAGGCAGTCAGACAGCCGGAAGTCAGGCAGGCAGTCAGACAGCCGGACAGTCAGGCAGGCAGAGAGTCAGGCAGGCAGTCAGACAGGCAGTCAGACAGCCGGACAGTCGGACAGGCAGTCAGACAGCCGGACAGTTAGGCAGGCAGTCAGACAGCCGGACAGTCAGGCAGGCAGTCAGACAGCCGGACAGTCAGGCAGGCAGTCAGACAGCCGGACAGTCAGGCAGGCAGTCAGACAGCCGGACAGTCAGACAGGCAGAGAGTCAGGCAGGCTGACGGACAGGCTCAACAGACGGACGGACAGGCAGACAGGTAGACGGCAGGATCGATGAAGGAGAGACAGATATACAGACTGACAAAATTCTGTTACCTACCTCTTCGTCCCACTGTTCACAACAGTCACATTTCCGGTGCCGGTGCTATAAATAGAAGTATCATTTTCGTCACAGTAAATGACAGTCTTGCCTCCGGTCTGGATGATACTGCAGCTACCTCTATTATTGACAACTGTCATGTTTCTTCCGTTGTTGAAAATGCTCCCCATTCCTGGTACATTGATATTGACACATTGGGTGCCTGCGCCAAAATTGTTGAAAGATGTACCATTTCCTGAGGTGGTGTAGGTAAATTGGGCAGATGGAGAAGTGCCGGTTCCCGCGCCACTATAGGATGTGTAAATCCCCGAAAAGTTTTGTCCGTTGGTGAAAGATTTACCGTTTCCTGATGTGGTGTAGGTAAATTGGCCAGGTCGAAAAGTGCCGGCGCGTGCACCATCATGGGTTATTTTAATCCCCGAAAAGGTGAAAGATTTCCCGTTTCCCGATCCAGGCTTGGTATAGGTAGATTTGTCGCTTTGAGCGGTGCCGTCGACTGGGTCGCTGTCGTTTGGTTTGCGTTTAATGTGCGATGTTTTGCCGTCGTTGACAAACGTCATCGAATTAGGTGCCAGATCTCCTCTCATAGACGCGGAAGCCGCTCTCTTGGCCCTTGCACGTGCTTCCATTGACCGCGTGCCAGATTTAATTGAATCTTCCATTATACCTGCAATGTAAACCTAAAAAACACACCAATACATCAAAAATCAATATATAGGCTGTTATTAAAAAATGCGATGATGTATTGTACCACAATATTTACAATATTTATTTATTCAACAGATGTTTACGACAGATTCTTAAGATACAATAGCCAGAAATTTTTTAAATAAATGCCTGGGGCAAACAACAAGCCAACAGCTTATTGACAGAGACATTTGAGCCAGCTAATGGGGATGGATGGGGCATGCCAGGAGAAGGGGAGATGATAACATCGAGAGGCTAGTGTTAGTCTGGAACAAGGGTTCCCTGGAGAGGGTCACTTGACAGAGAGGCTAGGGGTGCTGTGTTGACGCGGGCACAACTACAAAGATTTGTCTAGTGGGGAGGTGTGGCTACAGGACTTTGCTCTTCATGAGCCTAACGGAAAAAGTCAAGTCAATTATAAGGAGATATCAAAGTTAAGAAACATTACCAGAATTATATGATTATGCCAAATAAAAAAGTATGAAAAACACAAAAAGTTTTTTTTTGTTGCATTGCCGTTACAATATAATTTGGAACAGGGTAAAGGCCGTAGTTAAGATAAGGTCTAGGAGTGGTTTGTGTCGTGGTTAGGGTCAAAGTCTAGGAGTGGTTTGTGTCATGGTTAGGGTCAAGGTCTAGGAGTGGTTTGTGTCGTGGTTAGGGTCAAGGTCTAGGAGTGGGTTGTGTCGTGGTTAGGGTCAAGGTCTAGGAGTGGTTTGTGTCATGGTTAGGGTCAAGGTCTAGGAGTGGTTTGTGTCATGGTTAGGGTCAAGGTCTAGGAGTGGTTAGTGTCGTGGTTAGGGTCAAGGTCCAGGAGTGGTTTGTGTCGTGGTTAGGGTCAAGGTCTAGGAGTGGTTTGTGTCAAGATAAGGTCTAGGAGTGGTTTGTGTCGTGGTAAGGGTCAAGGTCTAGGAGTGGTTTGTGTCAAGATAAGGACTAGGAGTGGTTTGTGTCAAGATAAGATCTAGGAGTGGTTTGTGTCAAGATATGGTCTAGGAGTGGTTTGTGTCGTGGTAAGGGTCAAGGTCTAGGAGTGGTTTGTGTCAAGATAAGGACTAGGAGTGGTTTGTGTCAAGATAAGGACTAGGAGTGGTTTGTGTCAAGATAAGATCTAGGAGTGGTTTGTGTCAAGATAAGGTCTAGGAGTGGTTTGTGTCATGGTTAGGGTCAAGGTCTAGGAGTGGTTTGTGTCGTGGTTAGGGTCAAGGTCTAGGAGTGGTTTGTGTCGTGGTTAGGGTCAAGGTCTAGGAGTGGTTTGTGTCGTGGTTAGGGTCAAGGTCTAGGAGTGGTTTGTGTCAAGATAAGTCTAGGAGTGGTTTGTGTCAAGATAAGGTCTAGGAGTGGTTTGTGTCAAGATAAGGTCTAGGAGTGGTTTGTGTCATGGTTAGGGTCAAGGTCTAGGAGTGGTTTGTGTCAAGATAAGGTCTAGGTGTGGTTTTTGTCGTGGTTAGGGTCAAGGTCTAGGAGTGGTTTGTGTCGTGGTTATGGTCAAGGTCTAGGAGTGGTTTGTGTCCATATATGGATTGTTTGAACACATTCCTTTGTAGAGCAATGATGGAAGCAGTGCCATCAAATAACCTTCTGTTATTACCCCCTGATTTCCCGCTTTCATTAACCTTAAGTGAACATCAATTAACCTTCTGATATCACTCAAAAAATTACCTGTTTTAATTAACCTTAGGTGAGTGTAGAGTAGGTTAGTGTAGGGTAGGTTAGTGTAGTGTAGGTTAGTGTAGTGTAGGTTAGTGTAGGTTAGTGTAGTGTAGGTTATTGTTGGGTAGGTTAGTGTAAGGGTAGGTTAGTGTAAGTTAGCGTAGGTTAGCGTAGATTAGTGTAGAGTAGTTTAGTGTAGTGTAGGTGAGTGTAGTGTAGTGTAGGTTAGTGCAATGTAGGTTAGTGTAGTGTAGGTTGGTGTAGTGTAGGTTAGTGTAGTGTAGGTTAGTGTAGTGTAGGTTAGTGTATTGTAGGTTGGTGTAGTGTAGGTTAGTGTAGTGTAGGTGAGTGTAGTGTAGTGTAGTGTAGGTTAGTGTTGTGTAGGTTAGTGCGGTGTAGGTTAGTGTAGTGTAGGTTATACCGTGTTGTGTAGTTCTGTAGCCACCGTATGCTATATATATGTCTACATGTGTCACTTATTTAGAATAGACTGTGTTTAGTGTGTGTGAATAGTTTTTACAGCCTTTAAATTTCGATCTAATGTTGCCTGAGTCTTCTATTTTGTAACCACTTTGTGGTGTCTGTCTTATATGTTTCTCAGCACATTAGAAAACTCGTAAAGACGTGTCCGTGTGTTCACAACAGTGTTATAGATAGCCTCTATCTACAGCTAGATCTAGATCTAGATCTATATGGTTATAAATATAATAGTGGGAGTTTGGGTAAACATGAAGTATAAGGACAAGGTCACAAGGAGGGCAGTGTGGATAATATTTTAAAGATAACTATAAAAAAAAAGCACTGCACCCACCTACGACATATTTTATTTTTGAAAAATCCCTTAAATATTTAGTGTAACAGTTCCCAAAAAGAATACTTACTTTAAAATCTATATACCAAATTGCAGGGAAGTAACATCTGGTTTCAATACTATTTGTATAATGACGTCATGTTCATAATGTGTTCCTGTCGCATATTCTGGTGCGCTTTCTTAACATCACACTTTGGTGCACTTTCTTAACATCACACTTTGGTGCACTTTCTTAACATCACACTCTCGATGCACTTTTTTTTACACGAACACCCATCTCTGGTACTCACCATCATTCACAATTTATTGCCTACTCATTAATTAAGTTAGAGCAGCACATTAGAATAATACGATATTTGGATATCATGAGTCATGGAGGTGTGTCCAGCTTTGTCTAAGGTGTGTCCATCTTTAAGTGTGCTGTGTCCATCTTTTTCTGATGTGTATCCATCTTTTACTCAGATGTGTCTTTGTCTGATGTGTGTCTATCATTGTCTGATTGTGTCCGGCTTTGTCTGATGTGTGTCCATATTTGCCAGATGTGTGTCCATCATTGCTTGATATGTGTCCAGCTTTGTCATTGGTGTGTTGATCTTTGTCTGGTGTGTGTCCATATTTGCCAGACGTGTGTCCATCTTTGTCATCCTTGTGTCCATCTTTGTCTGAGATGTGTCCATCTTTGTCATTGGTGTGTCTAGCTTTGTCATTGGTGTGTTCGTCTTTGTCATTGGTGTGTTCATCTTTGTCTAAGGTGTGTCCATTTTTGTTAGAGGTGTGTCCATCTTTGTCATTGGTGTGTCCATCTTTGTCATCCTTGTGTCCATCTTTGTCTGAGATGTGTCCATCTTTGTCATTGGTGTGTCTAGCTTTGTCATTGGTGTGTTCATCTTTGTCATCCTTGTGTCCATCTTTGTCTGAGATGTGTCCATCTTTGTCATTGTTGTGTCCATCTGTGTCATTGGTGTGTTCATCTTTGTCATTGGTGTGTTCATGTTTGTCTGAGGTGTGTCCTTCTTTGTTAGAGGTGTGTCCATCTTTGTCATTGGTGTGTCCATCTTTGTCATTGGTGTGTCCATCTTTGTCAGAGGTGTCCTTTGTCATTGGTGTGTCCATCTTTGTCATTGGTGTGTCCATCTTTGTCAGAGTTGTGTCCAGGTTTGTCATTGGTGTGTCCATCTGTGTCATTGGTGTGTTCATCTTTGTAATTGGTGTGTTCATCTTTGTCTGAGGTGTGTCCATCTTTGTTAGAGGTGTGTCCATCTTTGTCATTGGTGTGTCCATCTTTGTCATTGGTGTGTCCATCTTTGTCAGAGGTGTGTCCTTTGTCATTGGTGTGTCCATCTTTGTCATTGGTGTGTCCATCTTTGTTAGAGGTGTGTCCATCTTTGTCATTGGTGTGTCTATCTTTGTCATTGGTGTGTCCATCTTTGTTAGAGGTGTGTCCATCTTTGTCATTGGTGTTTCCACCTTTGTCAGAGGTGTGTCCAGCTTTGTCATTGGTGTTTCCACCTTTGTCATTGGTGTGTCCATCTTTGTTAGAGGTGTGTCCATCTTTGTCATTGGTGTGTCCATCTTTGTCAGAGGTGTGTCTAGCTTTGTCTGATGTGTGTTCATATTTGTCTGTGGTGTGTCCAGCTTTATCTAAGGTGTTTTCATCTTTGTGTGTGCTGTCTCCAGCTTTGTCTGAGGTGTGTCCAGCTTTGAGGTGTGTCCAGATTTGTCTGATGTGTGTCCATCTTTGTCTCAGGTGTTACCATTTTTTTCTCAGAAGTGTCCAGTTTTGTCCGAAGTGTGTCTATTTTTTTTTCTCATGTGTCCAGCTTTGTCAGAGTTGTGTTCATCTTTGTCTGAGGCGTGTCCAGCTTTTCCTGACGTGTGTCCAGCTTTGTCAGATTTGTCTTAAGTGTGTCCAGCTATGTCATTGGTGTGTCCAGATTTGTCCTATGTGTATCTAATTTAATCCTTGGTGTTTCCAGATTTAACCTAGGTGTGTCCATCTTTGTCTGAGGTGTGTCCAGCTGTCTGATGTGTGTCCATCATTGTCTGATGTGTGTCCAGCTTTGTCTGGGGAGTGTCCATCTTTGCCAGACGCGTGTCCAACTTTGTCTCGGGTGTGTCCATTTTTTCTCAGACGTCTCCAGTTTTGTCTGAAGTGTGCCCAATGTTTTCTCAGATGTGTCCATCTTTTTGTGAGGTGCGTCAATTTTTGTCTGAGGTGTTTCCATCTTTGTCAGAGGTGTGTCCATCATTTTGTGAAGTGTGTCCATCTTTTTTTGAGGTGTCCAGCTTTCTTTGAGGTTTTTCCAGCATTGTTAAAGATGCGTCCGTTTAGTCCAAGATGTATCCATCTTTCACCGGCGGGATAAACCTACACGATACACGCCTCTATTCAACACGTTTGAAAAAAAAATCAGCCAAAAGATATGCTTTATTTATAGTTTATTTTGATATGAGATGAAATGAATGACAAACAATGTATTGGACTCTCAATTTAATATAAGCTGTGTCTTTCGCCCTACCATTCTGTTTTCCAGCCCATTCATCTTTTATTTAGTCGGTGTGTGTGTGTTTGTCTAAGTGCAAGTCTTAATGTGAATCAAACTAGACAGTGATGTAAATATACGAGACACGTATGCGTCACTGATCAGAGGAGTCATCAGAGGAGCCTTCATTTCTTGCACCACTTGTAAACTGCCTGGTTTCGTAAAATAGTGGGGTGGGGGGAGGTAACAGGAAAACAATTATTTTAGAGATGTGTTTTGTGTTTGAGAAAATAAAACAGTTAAAAAGGCAAGGATAAAAAGACAAATAGACAAGCAAACAACAAGCAGTTAAGCAACTATTTACACATACCGATCTTGTTTATTACAGTCGAACGACAGGTTCCCTGGGCCAGTGATTTCTTCGACGTACGTCCCGATGTGGTTGACGTGAATACCTTTACTTGCTAAGCGCTTCTTTAGGTTAGGGGAGGGGGGTCCATTAATTACCCTGATCTTTCGTGAAGAGCTCGACTTGGTTTGTTTGTCGTTTGAGCTGGTTGGGAGAACACGTAATTTTTTTTTGACAATTTGAAAGGTTGGTCTTTTGATTCTCAGGGTATGCCCCATCCATCCCCATTGGCTGGCTTTAATGTCTCTGTTGGCTTGTTGTTTGCCACAGGTAGGTCTTTTAATTTTTTTGGTAAGGATAGGTAAGTGTGATAAGGCAAGATTTAAATAAAGGTCGTAATATAGGCCAGAGGTAAAATAGTGTAGGTCAGCTAGACATTGGTCAAGCAGAACCAATAGAATGAAAGCGAAACGAAATAACCGCTCACGTGAGACGGTCAGCTGTCCACGGAAGCGTCAGTTGGCTCTAGAATTTGGACATTGGAACGTGCAGGGGAAAGTCGAGAATTAGCAGCAGCGTAGTTAGATAGTTAAGTGTAGAAAGCATTTGCAGTCGGAGTAGAGATCAAGGATTGTTCGGAGATAGTTCAAATAGTTGAAGTTATGTAGAGTATGGTAGGGTAGGAGATTGATTATGCGCAAATAAAGAAATATTATAGTATATTTTAAAATGGATTTGTGATTAATTTAACACACTGTGCCAGGCTAAAGAGGATTTTAATAAGGCGATCCCCGGAACAAGAATATATTATAGTACACATTACGATGTCTGAATAATATATATCAAAATTACGGCACCACTTTAAAAAACTGCTAGATTGAATGGTAGAGCGTACCACTGCTATGGTAGAGCGTACCACTGCTATGGTAGAGTGTACCACTGCTATGGTAGAGCGTACCACTGCTATGGTAGAGTGTACCACTGCTATGGTAGAGCGTACCACTGCTATGGTAGAGCGTACCACTGCTATGGTAGAGTGTACCACTGCTATGGTAGTACCACTTCTATGGTAGAGTATACCACTGCTATGGTAGTACCACTGCTATGGTAGAGCGTACCACTGCTATGGTAGAGCGTACCACTGCTATGGTAGAGTGTACCACTGCTATGGTAGTACCACTTCTATGGTAGAGTATACCACTGCTATGGTAGTACCACTGCTATGGTAGAGCGTACCACTGCTATGGTAGAGCGTACCACTGCTATGGTAGAGCGTACCACTGCTATGGTAGAGCGTACCACTGCTAAGGTAGTACCACTGCTATGGTAGAGCGTACCACTGCTATGGTAGAGCGTACCACTGCTATGGTAGAGCGTACCACTGCTATGGTAGAGCGTACCACTGCTATGGTAGAGTGTACCACTGCTATGGTAGTACCACTGCTATGGTAGAGCGTACCACTGCTATGGTAGAGCGTACCACTGCTATGGTAGAGTGTACCACTGCTATGGTAGAGCGTACCACTGCTATGGTAGAGCGTACCACTGCTATGGTAGAGCGTACCACTGCTATGGTAGAGTGTACCACTGCTATGGTAGAGCGTACCACTGCTATGGTAGAGTGTACCACTGCTATGGTAGAGCGTACCACTGCTATGGTAGAGTGTACCACTGCTATGGTAGAGCGTACCACTGCTATGGTAGAGTGTACCACTGCTATGGTAGAGCGTACCACTGCTATGGTAGAGCGTACCACTGCTATGGTAGAGCGTACCACTGCTATGGTAGAGTGTACCACTGCTATGGTAGTACCACTGCTATGGTAGAGCGTACCACTGCTATGGTAGAGCGTACCACTGCTATGGTAGAGTGTACCACTGCTATGGTAGAGCGTACCACTGCTATGGTAGAGTGTACCACTGCTATGGTAGTACCACTGCTATGGTAGAGCGTACCACTGCTATGGTAGAGCGTACCACTGCTATGGTAGAGTGTACCACTGCTATGGTAGAGCGTACCACTGCTATGGTAGAGCGTACCACTGCTATGGTAGAGTGTACCACTGCTATGGTAGAGCGTACCACTGCTATGGTAGAGCGTACCACTGCTATGGTAGAGCGTACCACTGCTATGGTAGAGTGTACCACTGCTATGGTAGAGCGTACCACTGCTATGGTAGTACCACTGCTATGGTAGTACCACTGCTATGGTTGTACCACTGCTATGGTAGAGTGTACCACTGCTATGGTAGTACCACTGCTATGGTAGAGTGTACCACTGCTATGGTAGAGCGTACCACTGCTATGGTAGAGCGTACCACTGCTATGGTAGAGTGTACCACTGCTATGGTAGTACCACTGCTATGGTAGTACCACTGCTATGGTTGTACCACTGCTATGGTAGAGTGTACCACTGCTATGGTAGTACCACTGCTATGGTTGTACCACTGCTATGGTAGAGTGTACCACTGCTATGGTAGTACCACTGCTATGGTAGTACCACTGCTATGGTAGAGTGTACCACTGCTATGGTAGAGCGTACCACTGCTATGGTAGAGTGTACTACTGCTATGGTAGAGCGTACCACTGCTATGGTAGAGTGTACCACTGCTATGGTAGTACCACTGCTATGGTAGTACCACTGCTATGGTAGTACCACTGCTATGGTAGTACCATTGCTATGGTAGAGCGTACCACTGCTATGGTAGAGCGTACCACTGCTATGGTAGAGCGTACCACTGCTATGGTAGAGTGTACCACTGCTATGGTAGTACCACTGCTATGGTAGTACCACTGCTATGGTAGTACCACTGCTATGGTAGTACCACTGCTATGGTAGTACCACTGCTATGGTAGAGCGTACCACTGCTATGGTAGAGCGTACCACTGCTATGGTAGAGCGTACCACTGCTATGGTAGAGTGTACCACTGCTATGGTAGTACCACTGCTATGGTAGAGCGTACCACTGCTATGGTAGAGCGTACCACTGCTATGGTAGTACCACTGCTATGGTAGAGTGTACCACTGCTATGGTAGTACCAATGCTATGGTAGAGCGTACCACTGCTATGGTAGAGCGTACCACTGCTATGGTTGTACCACTGCTATGGTAGAGCGTACCACTGCTAAGGTAGTACTACTTCTATGGTAGAGCGTACCACTGCTATGGTAGAGTGTACCACTGCTATGGTAGAGCGTACCACTGCTATGGTAGTACCACTTCTATGGTAGAGTATACCACTGCTATGGTAGAGCGTACCACTGCTATGGTAGAGCGTACCACTGCTATGGTAGAGTGTACCACTGCTATGGTAGTACCACTGCTATGGTAGAGTGTACCACTGCTATGGTAGAGTGTACCACTGCTATGGTAGAGCGTACCACTGCTATGGTAGTACCACTGCTATGCTAGTACCATTGCTATGGTAGAGCGTACCACTGCTATGGTAGTACCACTGCTATGGTAGAGCGTACCACTGCTATGGTAGAGTGTACCACTGCTATGGTAGAGCGTACCACTGCTATGGTAGAGCGTACCACTGCTATGGTAGAGTGTACCACTGCTATGGTAGTACCACTGCTATGGTAGAGTGTACCACTGCTATGGTAGAGTGTACCACTGCTATGGTAGAGCGTACCACTGCTATGGTAGAGTGTACCACTGCTATGGTAGTGCGTGCCACTGCTATGGTTGTACCACTGCTATGGTAGTACCACTGCTATGGTAGAGCTTACCACTGC